AGTCTCACCTGGATGAGAACTACTGATCTAGAACAGCATTTCCCAAAATGTATTGTGTAGAACCCAAGTTTAGTTGGATATGCATACATTTTTATGTATTAATCAGTTAATCTATTTTGTGTTGTGTTTTTAGCCATCATTATTATATACTAGAGGCCCAGTGCATGTATTTGTGTACTGGTGGTCTGGTCTGCGCCCTCTCGAAATCTGGGACCCCTCAGGGGATGTTGGACTGCCAGTTTCTGCCCAATCCCTTCAGGCCAGGCCAAGGGACCCTACCGGTGCACAAATCCATGCACTGGGCCTTAGTATGCATGTAAGATCTTTGGTTAATCTCTTCCCGCCCTCCCCCCTTTCCTCAGATTCTTCAGTCTGTCCCATGTTTCCCTGTCTGTGCATTGAGTATCTGCCCCCTGGTGGTCAGTGCACCTCATAGCTACTGGTCTAACAGTTGAACGGTCACTTAGGCTTTTATATATATGTATTTATATACTTACATAATATAGGTAAGTACGTTTTTTATTTTAAAAATTTATTTTCTGATTATTTTATGTCCATGCTTAATGTGGCAGAGCCTTTTGAGTATCTCGTTTTTTTAAATATTTTCTGTGTGTATTTTAGCCTCTTCTGGCCTAACAAGCTTAGTCAGATCCCAGGGGACCTAAGTGATACTTCCCCAAGCCTTGTTTGAACAATAAAGTGATTGCTTGGCAAATGCTTTCCTCAGAATGTGTTATTGGCTGAGCCCTCACTGGAATGGGGGGTGTGAATGAAGCCAGGATAGAAGAGAGGGGACAGGTGGATGACAACTCACTGAACTGTAGTGATGGACAGTTGATTGTCCTAAAAGCTATTTTGGAAAAATCTCTCTCTCTCTTTTTTTTTTTTGTATAGAATTTTACAGTTTTCTTGGATTCCTTGACAGCTTTCTTTATTAATAATATTAGCAGGTTTAGTTTGGAAAAGTATCATCAATTAAATATTCTGACAAAATATTAGCAGCCACAAAGAAGATGTCAAGATGTCGGTTGCAAATGTCTCTTGACTCTTGCTGTGTCCCCAGTCCTTTCCTGGCTCCTTAACTATCTCTCTTCCAGACAGGCAAGCCAAAGTTACCATAGGCTTCCTTGCATTACTGTCAGGGGGGTTTACCAGCTTTGGAGAGCCGCCGGGGAGCCGCCCTGCTGGGAAGGAGAGTGGCTGGGTGTGGTGGCTCCGAGCTTTCCTGCATTGGGCCTGTCTGTAGATTAAATGATTTGATGTCTCAAAACTGAGTTAGAGAGCAAATTAAAAAAAAAAAAAAAAAAAAAAAAAGTGTTGATTTCAGAGAGAGGGAAACATTGATCAGCTGCCTCCAAACCAGACATGTGCCCTGGCCTGGAATCAAATGGGTGACTTCCTGGTGCATGGGATGATGCTCAACCAACTGAACCACACTGGCCAGGCTAGAGAGTACATTTTTGATGGATAAAATAAGTTATAAACATGTCTCTTTGGACAGATATATTTTAGGCCATGAGTTGGCAAATTGTAGGCTTCTGGGCCAAGTGCCACTAGAGCCGATGTAAAGGAAAAAGAATGCACAGTAGAAATAGTATGTGGCCCACAAAGCCTAAAATACTAATTAGCTGGCTCTTTTTTAAAAAAAAATATATTTTATTGATTTTGTACAGAGAGGAAGGGAGAGAGATAGAGAGCTAGAAACATCGATGAGAGAGAGTCATCGATCAGCTGCCTCTTGGACACCCCCTACTGCGGATATACCTGCAACCAAGGTACATGCCCTTGACCAGAATCGAACCCGGGTCCCTTCATTCCCCAAGCCGACGCTCTATCCATTGAGCCAAACCGGTTTTGGCTAATTAGCTGGCTCTTTACAGAAAAGTGTGCTGACCCCTCAGCCATTTCAGCTGAAACAAATTAGTATCGGTCTGGATAAATGGAATCAAACAGCCTAAGTCTGTTGGGGAAAATATGACTAATAAAGGGGAAGATAAGATATTGTCCCTCAGTAGACTATCTTGCTGTGATTGGTATGTAATGACATCCGTGTAAAAATAGGGCCTAGGTAAATAGCTGTTAAGTCATAATTAGAATAATAAAGGAATTCATGTGAATAACTATTGAAAGCTAAATCTAGAAATCTTTGCTTTTTTTTTTTTTTTTTTTTTTTTTTTTTACCAATTCCCATTGCTTCTTTGCTTCTTTGTTTTTCCTTTTGCTGGCATTTGAGCCCTGAGAAACTCTACTTTGCTGAAGTCACTATACAGAGCTTAATTCTTTCTTATGGGTACCACCTGGTCCAGAAGCAGTTCTGAAACCCAAATACCACTGGGAAAGCAAGGATGCTTGTGTGCCGCACTCCCTGTGCTCTGGGGCTGAGGAGCACCGTGTGACTAGGCTGCTGGGGAGCAGACTAGCTGGGCTGGCAGGTACTGGGTCAGAGGTCGGGGAAAGGTGCAGGGCTATAGACAGCCACACTGGTCTTTGACTTATTAGAGCGTCTTTCTAGAAGCCACTCCCCTCTCCTCCCACTTTTTCTTTGTCTTCATCTCTCTCTCTCTTTTTTTTTTTAAGAATACATTTTATTGATTTTTTTACAGAGAGGAAGGGAAAGAGAGAGTTAGAAACATCCATGAGAGAGAAACACCGATCAGCTGCTTCCTGCACCCCCCACTGGGGATGTGCCCTCAACCAAGGTACATGCCCTTGATTGGAATCGAATCCAGGACTTTTCAGTCTGCAGGCCAATGCTTTAACCACTGAGCCAAACTGGTTTCAAACATATCTCTTTTAAAAGTGACAATTATAGTGCAGAAATGAAGATGAGCCTGGAGTGTCTTGTTTTTACCTGAAAGCAAGAAAGTTAGCAAGAATTACTAGGGTGTGTTAAAGGCTCTAGGAGGTAATTGCAGTTGCTTGCATTGGCCAAAGATGGGATAATTTTAGGGAAATATATATATATATATATATATATATATATATACACACACACACACACACACACACACACATATATATGTATATATTTATATATATTTATGTACATATGTAAATATATATTTATATATATGTATACACACACACTTTTTAAAATTTAAATTTTTTCTTTTAATGGATATTTTTCCATTGATTTTTAGAGAGAGTGGAAGGGAGAGGGAGAGACAGAGAGAAATACTGGTGTGAAAGAGACACATCAATTGGTTGCCTCCTGCATGCCCCTGATCAGGGCCAGGAACCTGCAATCAAGGTATGTGCTCTTGTCTGAAATTGAACCTGGGACTCTCCATTCTCAGGCCAAGGCTCTGTCCACTGAGCAAACTAGCTAGGGCTAATATACTTATTTTTAAAATGTTCAAACCCATGAGATCATAATGTACTGAAACAGCCTCACTGGTCACTATTGGAGAAGGATAGGGAACTAGCACATTCTGAAAATTGATAAGCAGAGGCAAAGAAGCAGCTCTTAAGAAACCCCATAAATGGGGCTGCAGTGTGGAGAACGGGTTTGGCGTGGGAAAGCTTGGCCATGGGAGACTGCTCTGAAGGCATTGCTGGGAGTTCAGACAATGGAAGGGTGATGGGGAGCTTGTTTAATTTGTGCATCATAGGATCAGGGAGGTATTTCTTTCCTTTTCAGTAACCTGTGTTCAGTGTTTTGGAGGTGCCTACTTCCAGACTTTGTCAGGAAATGCCACTTTTTCACAAGAACACCAGGCTGTCATTTTTTCCTTTGGATTTGTTAGAGTTTGCAGAGCAGAGTTACATGTGTGTGCAGCGTGGTTGTCCTTGCCATGATTGGAAGTCATTCATGATGTTTACCTGATGCATTGCCTTTTTCAATTATTCTCTTCAATGGTGTTTCTCATAGTTTGAATTGATGAAATTAACATTTGCAAACATTAAAATTGAACAGAGCTGAAACCGGTTTGGCTCAGTGGATAGAGCGTCAGCCTTTGGACTGAAAGGTCCCAGGTTCGATTCCGGTCAAGGGCATGTACCTTGGTTGCGGGCACATCCCCATTAGGGGGTGTGCAAGAGGCAGCTGATCAATGATTCTCATTGATGTTTCTAGCTCTCTATCCCTTTCTCTTCCTCTCTGTAAAAAAAATCAATAAAATATATATATATTTTAAATTGAATGGATTGTCAAATACTGTCCTGATTTTCTTACGAGTTCTACAGTTATCTTAGAAATAAAGTTATTGCATTCTTAGAAATGTGTAGAAGAAATGGGGCTTCAGAGCCAGAGTCTGACCTCACAAAGGTCTCTTAGCCTCTGTGTTCTGTAAGATGAGGACAGTGTTACACAGCATCTGCTAGAATGCTCTGGTTCCTATTAGTGGGAACCCATTAGTGGCCTAACACAACCATTTTATGGTGTTCATGGATTTGAGGCCAGAAATTGGAAAGGATGCAGTGGAAATGGCCTGTGCCTGCTCCACAAGGGTTGAGTCCTCAGCTAGCAAGACGCAGAGGCTGGGAGTGGCTTGATGACTGAGGACTGGAGTCTTGTAGAGGCATTTTCTCAAATTTGGAAGTTGATACTGGCTTTCGGCTGAAACCCAAATGCCACTGGAAAAGCAAGGAATGTTCTGAAAATTGATAAGCAGAGGGAAAGAACAACTTTTTATTTTATTTTATAGATCTTATTGATTTTCTTCAGAGATGAAGGGAGAGGGAATAGAGAGCTAGAAACATCGATGAGAGAGAAATATCGACCAGCTGCCTCCTGCACATCACCATCGGGGATGTGCTTGCAACCAAAGTACTGGAATCGAACCTGGGACCCTTCAGTCCACAGGCAGAGGCTCTATCCACGAGCCAAACCGGTTTCAGCAAGAAGCAACTCTTAAGAAACTGTGACTCTATGATGACTCTACATATGACCCGGGCTTCTTCACAGTACTGGGGTTGGAAATAGGGAAGTGTGCTTTCTCACAGCATTGCGGTGGGTGGGGGGGTGGGGGGTGGGACACTTCCTCACAGCATGGGGGCTTAGGGCATCAGCAGTAAGTGTCCAGAGAAGATAGAAGCTGCTTCACACTTACGACCCAGCCCAGGAGTCACACACTATTGCTTCCACTGCATTCTCGAGGTTCCAACTGAGTCTCTAAGGTCAGCCTTAAAAGTGTCTCATGTAGATCTTAAATATGAGAAGATATTTCTTCCCTCATTTTCCCTTTCCTACTCTCACAGCCCCGTTGTGATAATGACAGGACAAAGTGAAGATTAAACAGAACACATTTTCTGTACATTTCTGTATTAACATGGACTATATATGTAGCTAGCACTGTGACATAGAGCTTTGAGACAGTGTTCTTCCAAAGCTCGAGAGATTTTATCTTGTAAGTGCTTCTGTTTTATCCAGTCCAGGCCACCCAGAGTCAGCGTGCCCATGTTTAAACAGGAGAACACACGACTGACCACAGGTACAGTGTGTTTGAAAAACAGCACCAAAACCCGTTTCACAAGCACTCTGTAGGAATTGATTAAGAGAGATTTTTATAAAAGAATCAAATTCTAAAGTTTCCTGCATTTTTGGGGCAATTTTTCTTCAAGCCCTGGCAAATCTAGTATCTTATTTCTTCTGTCCCAATGGCCTGTTTATCTATTGTGTTGTTATATACTTTTATGTTATTTCTGTAGTCTTGAAGGATACTTTAAAATTTGCTATTTCTTAAATCTTTTAAGGGTAATTTAACTATTCATGGATCTTGATTCCACCATATACATTTTAGGATAGGTTTTTTTTGTTTGTTTGTTTCTAAACAATAGGAATTTTTATTGGAATTACAGCTGTAAGATTTATAGATAACTACATGTACCAAGAAAAACCAGTAGACTCTCCATAAACTAAAGGCCCTAGTGAAGCTGACGGGTACAAAGTTAGTCCGTACAGATTAGGGGACACTGGATCCAGCAGTCTTCCACAAAGTACAATGACAGTGGGAGATTTTTGGCAGCAGCAGGAAAAACGAACAATGTTTAGGAATTGAACCATGAGCACAGGAGACCTCTGTAGGAGAGGACCCAGGCTCTGGACTAGGGGGACTGGACACCATAGAGGTGTCTCCTGCCCACATTAACCTATCAGGACTTTTTCGGCATTGGTATAAAGGTGTTTCTGGTTTTGTCTGCTGCTCATCCCAAGCACTTACAACACAGCCCACATGGAGACCTGCAGTAAATCTTTGTGGACTGGATGACGGGCACAAAGCTAACAAGTCGTGGGCCCTGCCTTTCAGTTGGCAGGCTACTGTGAGACTTTATGCTGCTCCTGGATCTAACCACCGCGCTGATGACTGATGGTGGGTGACTGTAGTCGATTTCACTGTTTCTCTGTGGATGACATGTAGGTTCTGTTTCCATTTTTTATTAATATGGATAAAAAACACTAGCATCTAGCTTTCCTTGCCATGTTTAATACCCTTTCAAATGAGACTTTTGAGCACAAAAAAAGTAATTTGAGGTTATTTAAAAATCAACATTTATGAAGGCCACAAAGTTACAGGCTTATTCTGTATACCTTTATATCTTTATGTAGAATTTGCAGGCTTTTTGTTTTCTTTATGAATTTAGTATATTTTAACCGAACTTTGCCCTTAAGGCAGCCTTTGATCAACTCAAGGTGATCCGACTAAATATACCATTTTTAATGATCAGTCCCAGTCATAACATACACAGTTGGAATCATAATTTTAAGTTTAGTGGATTTGATTTTCATTTAAGCACCTTATATATCTGACCAAACATGTAAAACCTTCTCAGGTATGCCTAATAATTTAAAGTTATATTTATAGTGAATCTCATGTTCTCAAGCTTTTCAATCCTGTCTACCAGGCGGTGAGCTTCATGGTCAGAAACTTGGTTTTGTTCACTGTTGTAATCCCAGGACCAGTATTTGTATAAATGATAAACTTGTGTAAATGAATAAATGTTTGCAATCTTCATTAATTTCTCTCTTATACCTTTTCACTGAAAAAGAAATTATGTCTAAAATCAATAATGCAATTATACATTTTAAGTTAAAATCAAGGCTAAATTTTAAGATTAATTTGTCACATTTTCTTAACTATTAAAGCACCTTAAATGTCAAATACATAGATTATTATGAACACCAAAATATTAAAGTCTGAATCTTTCACAGGGTTTAATGATACCGTTAAAGCACTAAGTCATCTCAGACAATAGCGGGCAGACCACGCTGGCCAGAGAGCTGTGACCGGGCAGAGAGATGAGACCTTGCCAACTTCAGGGCCTTCTTCTGACCTGCGTACTACCCCTTCTTTTCTAGTCTCTTTGAGCTTCTGAGCCAGCTGGAACCTTCCCAGATTCATCCATATTGTCTGAGCAGGAAACACGTCACCACTGGATCAGTTTCAGCCAATCGTTTATATCTGGGCCTTTTTTGATAAACTTCTCTTATTCCAGTCAGCCTAGACAAGAAAGCTTAAAATACTAAAATTTCATACCGGGCCACTAGTATTATGCTAAAGAAAGATGAATTTTGTTGACCATCATCCTTGGGTCAGATGCTTTCAGTTATTTTCCAGTTGATGATAGGTATCAGTTAGTCACTCAGATTCTGTCTTGGGCCTGTTTGAGCCAGCAACCTGAGGGTCTATAGCTGAGCAGATCGACAGAGGCCTTGACCAGAGCTGAATGCCAACTCTTAGATTTGGTCCATATTTCATATTTTTGTCTGCCTTAAAGGTCATAGCCAGAATGCTACAGTCTCTGGTTGATTGAAGAAGAATGCGATATTTTTTCATGACTGACTGTACATATAGTCACATTATTTTCCAAACTAGTCATGCATTTTGTGAATTCTAGGACTCTTTCAAAGTTCCAAGTTTTACTTCATCTTTGCTGGCAGTATAGTTGTTTTAAATTTAATAATTGCTAGATAAAAAATATATTATTTTAAAATTGCATATTCGCATTTTTTAATTACTAATGAGTTTTACTATTTCTGTACATGAATAGTAGAAAGTTGTGCTTATTTCATTTGTATTAGTCTAGCTGGAACTCTTGAAAGGGTACCAAAGTGACAACTTCAACAAATTATCATTGGGTGAAACTTGTATAAATAATATTCTATGTCTGACCCTTGAATACCATGTTATTATGAGTACATTGGGTTTGCAATTCTTTGACTTCGATTTTAGAGCCCCAAGTGATGTTAGGAAATTAAGGCACTGTTGTTTGAATTTGAACATAATAGATACTTACTTTCTGTGTAATGGGGGGGAAGAAATGGGGATTGATTGATCCTTCAACTCAGGTTAGCTGTTGGTTTTTATGTAATGCCCATTAAAACATATTATGATAGCCGAAGCCGGTTTGGCTCAGTGGATAGAGCGTCGGTCTGCAGACTGAAAGGTCCCAGGTTCAATTCCGGTCAAGGGCATATACGTTGGTTGCAGGCACATCCCCGGTAGGGGGTGTGCAAGAGGCAGCTGGTCGATGTTTCTTTCATCGACATTTCTAGCTCTCTATCTCTCTCCCTTTCTCTCTGTTAAAAATCAATAAAATATATTTCAAACAAACAAACAAACAAAAAAACATATTATGATAAAGCCCTGACTGATTTGGCTCAGTGGATAGAGTATCGGCCTGCAGATTTAAGGGTCCCAGGTTCGATTCCAGTCAAGGGCATGTATCTTGGTTGTGGGCACATCCCCAGTAGGGGGTGTGCAGGAGGCAGCTGACCAATGTTTCTCTCTCACTGATGTTTCTAACTATCCCTCTCCCTTCCTCTCTGTAAAAAATCAATAAAATATATTTTTTGAAAAGAAAAACATCCTATCTAATAAAGAGGGAATATACAAATTGACCATTATGTCATCACAAAGATAGTGGCACCCATAGCCACAAAATGGTGGTGCCCAGTTCCCTCAGCCCCCCCAGAGTCCCACAGTCCTTTCAGCCCAGCTGTAGGGGGGAAGAGAGGGTGGCAGATGCATAGTGTGGCCGGCCCTGCCCTTGTGCAGGCAAACCTCGGATGTCAACTGCCCAGCTGCCCAGGGCCGCCCAAGGCTCAGGTAACCAGGGCAGACTGAGGCTTGCACTGCTGGCAGTGGCAGCAGCAAAGGTGTGATGGGGGCGTCGCCTTCCCCTGCTTGCTGGGTCGCCTCCCACCCCTGAGGGCTCCCGGACTGTGAGAGGGGTCAGGCCAGGCTGAGGGAATTTTCATGCACCAGGCCACTAGTATTATGCTAAAGAAAGATGAATTTTGTTGACCATCATCCTTAGGTCAGATGCTTTCAGTTATTTTCCAGTTGATGATAGGTATTAGTCACTCAGATTCTGTCTTGGGCCTGCTTGAGCCAGCAATCTGAGGGTCTATAGCTGAGCAGATCGACAGAGGCCTTGACCAGAGCTGAATGCCAACTCCTAACCCCAAGAAGTCTGTTGAGATGAGCCCTGTGAATTCTGCTAAGACTTGTTTGCCTGCCGTCTTGCAGGCACCAATCGCATTGCTTATATTATATTATATTATATTATATTATATTATATTATATTATATTATATTATGCTAGAGTGGAATTTGGAAAGGAGTTCCACAAATTATGAGCAACAAATTTGCAAATGGCTCTTTCATGTGGTGGCACTGGTTGTAATATCTACACACACACACACACACACACACACACACACACACACCCCTACCTGTTGGCAGCGATCTTGAGCAGATGGTGCCATCTGCTGATAACTTCTCTCCAGCTTCTTTGATGTTCTTTAGGAATATTGGTCACCATGGTACTCTGCCTGTGTGTTTACTGGACAATATACTATAGTTATATAGAATTTCCTTTTTTTAAATTCCTCATGTGGTGTTTTGTTGTAGAGAGAGCACATATTTTCAAAACTTTTGACAGAAATTTCAAAGTTTCCCTTTAGAATAGCTGTACTGGTTTGTATCAGATATTGAAATTTTAAGCAGTTTTGATAGAGGGACTGCAAATCTATATATTTTTAAAATAAAATTCTGACACACATCCCCCCCCCCAGTATTTATTACAGGCATTAAGACACAAAAGGTTAAAAGAGAAGAGTCATCCTCTACCACCTCCACTCAGCAGTTGTTGAGTTTGGCCACAATTTGTATAAGTTGTGTGTGTGCTCTTACCATTTAAAGTAAACTTTGGAGGCCCTGACCGGGTAGTTCAATTGGTTAGAACGTCATCCCAATACGCAAAGGTAGGCAGATTTAATTTCAGGTCAGGAAACATATACAAGAAGCAACCAATGACTGCATAAAATAACAAATCAGTGTTTCTCTTCCAGCTCTCTCTCTAAACAAAGTTTTCTTAAATCAAAATTTAAAAAAAAAACACAAAAAACTGTAGATACATAACCATACCCCTAAACATCTTAGCCCTGGCTCTTCAAAACAAAGATGTTTCCATTAGCATACAGCATCATCACACCATCTTAACACTCAGTCTCTCATGCTGACTTAAATCAACTTTATTTCTTATATATATATATAAATAAAGTTTATATATAATATAAGCTTTTCAGACTGAAAGATGAATTAGCCAACTTTCTAGGATATAGTGGAATTTATTATAGGGTAATTTTCTTATGGGAAGATTAGCAGTTTTGTGCAAATTATATAATCCCCCCCCCTTTCCCAAGACACCTGTTACTGCACTGTTTTTATAATATAACTCAGGTACTAATGATTGACAAGACAATGGGACAAATAATGCAGTAGCAATAGGAGCCATCCCTCCTGGTGGTAGACACTGTCACCAGTTTGATATATATTTCGGTAGTCGACCTGGCCATTACTAACAAAAGTGTTTATGGTTACACTTTAGGGAATGCAGATAATCATTAACTAGAAGGCTTTGATATGCTTATTAAAGACAGGTTGGTCAAAGCCACAGCATGAAAGGACATGAAAATGAAGATCATATTTGTTCACACCTACATCCATGCAATGGATTCTCTCCCCTCCCCCTGTGTCGCTGCTCAGCCTTTCTGTTCCTTCACCCTCAGCTGTATTAACATGGCTGACTTCTCCTCAGTCCTCCTCCTCCCCCCATGTGAGTGGCATCTCAGTTCACTCTTGCCCTGCTGGCTGCCACTCCTCATCCTGGGTTCCCTCTTTCCAGCTTTCTTACATGGCCCACCTCCTCTCTCTTCCTGGGTGGTCTCATGCAGTTTGGTGGCTTTACCTACTGCCTTAGGGTCCTGGGGTTGCCTTAACCAAGCCCTACTAACTGGGTGGATGAAAACAGGAATGGATTCTCTCAGGGTCCTGGTGGCCAAACCTGAAATCAAGGTGCTGATGGGGCCACACTTCCTCTGAAGGCTCAGGCCTTCTCCCACCTGGTGGCTGTGTGTTCTTGGCTTATAGCAGCACTGCTCCAATCTCTGTCTCCAGTTTATATAGCCTTCCCCTCAGTTATGTCTCGGGTCTTTTTCTCCTTCCTCTTTTTTAAAAATAATTTTTAAAATATTATACAATATGTTTTTTAATTGATTTCTTTAGAGAGAGGAAGGGACGGGGGGAAAGAGAAGTATCGATGAGAGAGAACTATTAACTGTCTACCTCCTGCATGCCCCCTTACTGGGGATCGAGCCTGCAACCTGGGCATGTGCCCTGACTGGGAATTGAGCAGTGACCTCTTGAAGCATGGGATGACGCTCAACCAACTGAACCACACTGCTGGGCTTCTCCCCCCTCTTAAAGGTTATCAGTCATGGGATCCTGATCCTCCCCTCAAACCAGGATGATCTTATCTCAAGATCCTTAATCACATCTGTAAAGACCCTGTTCCAGATAAGGTCCTGTTCACAGGGACTGGGGGTTAGGGTGGGTGTATCTTGGAGGGCACAGTGTGACCCCCTTTGCACATGTAAACCATACTGATGATTACTGAGTTTATATTTCTTGGATTTCTGAGAAGTATCTCACACCTAAAATGTCCTGACTTGCTTTCTCTTCCCAGGCCATAGAACCTGTTCCTCACCATCTGCTCTTTACTGGGACATGCAGCTCTGCTCTGCAAGTTGCTCAGGTGGGAACTTTGGATGCTTCCTTGACCCCGCTTCTACACCTGACCCCAGGCCATCTGCAAACCCTGTGCTCTCAGTCCCCCTTGTCCACATGGTCCCCTGCCTGTCCATGGCAGTACTTCCCCACCCTCCGTGTGTTCCCCAGTCACATAGCCTGTCCTTCACAGTCAGAGGGACCCTCCTCAGACATAAGTTTGCTCAGACCCTCTCAGGAACACCAGTCTGCACCACGGCCCATGAGTCTGTGTGAACTGGTTCTGTGTCTCCACTCCCTTAGCTTCACTCCTCCTTCACCACTCTGCTCAGGCACATAGGCTGACCCATGTTTCTCCCAGGCATTATCAGTAACTCTGCCCCCCAGTCATTCTCTCTCCCCGCCCGGTTTTCTTCCTCTCAGCATCTTCGGACACTTTACCTGTGTGTTGCCAGGAAAACAAACCATGATTCCCATCTCCGTGTTACAGACAGATGTTAGAAGGCTGCCAGCTCAGCTCCCTGAGCACACCTTTGTCATTCCAGGCTGAGCTCCAGTCTCCCTGTCTCAGCAGCCCCGATCAAGCCATTGAGGTCTCAGTACCAGTATTTCCTCAGAGAGCCTGCCCTGCCACACGTCAGGGAGCCCCTTCACCCATCTCTGCTCTGACACCCTGTGTGCTGCCTGGCCTTCCTCGTGACCTCGTCTGCCAGGAAAGCAGGGCCTCCCTAGAACAGTGTCCTTCCTGCATGTTTAGACATTCACTAATGAATGAGTAAATCCAAATGACTGAAAAGAATGTTAGCAAGTCAGGCCCTGTGTAAGAATAAACGTGACGTCCCAGTACATAGGATGATGCTGAGTAGGTTTGGCGTAAGGACAGGTTTGTTTATTTTTCTTCATATAAAAATATATATTTAAAAACTTCCATGGATGTTGTGGAGTAGGGAGGGCAAAAATGCACTGCAATTGTTAACTGATGCTTTTCTGCTTTTATTTTTCAGATACCACTTGCTTTTGACTCAAGATGATTTGATGTCTTATAATAAAGTTATTAACCATGATGGCTACACAGACATTAAGCATAGACAGTTATCAAGATGGGCAACAAGTGAGAGCTTAGATTTTTATTCTGTGTTTCAATTCAGTCAGTCAACTTGGTACTAAAACACAAGCAATGCTTTGCATATTAATAGTTCAACTTCCATGAGACTGCAGGTCCAATTTTAATGTTACTCATTTAATATATGTCCAAATTATTTTTAAATAATACCAAGATTCCTAGTAATTTTGACTCCCCTAAATCATACTTTCTTGGGCATTTGTCTTTCTTTCTTTCTTTCTTTCTTTTTTTTTTTTTTTTTTTAATAGAGCCACAGTCACTCCCTGGCCCAGCTACCCTGGCCCCAAAACCTACAGCCTCAGCTCTCTCCACATCTGCTCTTTGCCTGAAAGTGAAAGAAAGTCAAATTCCAAATCTTATCTCCGTTCCCCTATTCACAGTACAGACCAGGCAAAGGGCCTGCGCTGAGCTGGATGTGTGTGGAGTAGGTTTACTCTGCCTCCTCTTTCTGTGCAGTCAGTGTATGAACACAGCCTGGGGCCCTGGCCTGCTAGCTCAGTTGGTTAGAGTGAAGTCCTGATATGCCAAGGTTGCAGGTTCGACCTTGGTTCAGGGCACATTCAAGAAGCAACCAATGAGTACATAAATAGTGGAACAGCAAAATTGATGTTTCTCTTCCTTCTTCTCTCTAAAAGATAAAAAATAAAAAGAGCACATACACCTGAAACCGGTTTGGCTCAGTGGATAGAGCATCGGCCTGTGGACGGGAAGGTCCCAAGTTCGATTCCGGTCAAGGGCATGTACCTTGGTTGTGGGCACATCCCCAGTAGGGGATGTGCAAGAGGCAGCTGATTGATGACTCTCTCTCATCGATGTTTCTAACTCTATCTCTCTCTCTTCCTCTCTATAAAAAAAAATCAATAAAATATATATTAAAACAACAACAACATACAGTCTGTGGTCAGCACCAGAGGCCTAGGAATTTGCCATTTTTATGTCAGTGTTAGCAGGGCCAGTGATGAACCTGCAACCCAGGTACTTGCCCTTGACTGGGAATCAAACCTGTGACCCTTCAGTGTGTGGGCTGGCACTCTAACCACTGGACCACCAGCCAAGGCATGGGTATGGTTTCTTCTTTTAAATATACACTGAGTGGACAGATTATTATGATCTCTGAACGCATAATAATCTGGCCACTCGGTGTATGTGTGTGTGTATATATATATATATACACACACACACACACACACACACACACACACACACACATACACACACACATATATAAAAAATATATATTTTCATACACCGAGCTTCATATATATATTAGCCCAGTGCATGAATTCATGCATGGGTGGGTCCAGCCAGCCTGGCCATGGGGAGGGGACATGGGCGGTTGGCTGGCCTGCCTGCTGGTCAAACACCTGGTTGTGGGGACAGTTTGCATATTAGCCTTTTATTATATGGGATATACACTGAATGGCCAGATTATTTTGTGTTCAGAGATCATAATATGGCCACTCAGCGTATACAGGCAGTCCCCGGGTTACATCAGACTTGGCTTACGTTGTTTCATGGTTATATTGCCATCTCCATTTATTTATTAAAAAAAAAAAATGTTCTGTCATTTCAGTGTATGTACATATGTGCTTTATGTTTATTTACCACAAGTAAAGGTCAGTAATTGTTATCTTTTAAATTTTTTTTACTATTTCACTTCATTGCTCCTGTGCATCTGCTCCATTTGGGTGATGTAGGTGCTTATGTAGGTGGGTTCTGACTTTAATGAAAATCGAATTACATTGCGCCCTAGGAACAGATCTCCGACGTAACCCAAGGACTGTATTGATTTCAGAGAGGAAGGGAGAGTGAGAGAGATAGAAACATCAACCATGAGAAAGAACCATTAATTCGCTACTTCTTACATACCCTCTACCGGCATGTGCCCTGACCAGGAACCAAATTGTGACCTCCTTATTTATAGGTAGGCACTCAACCATTGAGCCACACTGGCTGGGATGTGGTGGCTTCTTGACAGCCCTCCCACTATCTGTAAGTTGTAGTTTTACTGAAGCTACCCTGGTGTTTTATGCTCTGTAACCTGGAGGAATTGGGAAAGAGGGTGCTTACTGAGTCCTGTGCAGCCTCTCCTGGGACACCTGAAGTTTGAGGAATGCTCTGTGTGCTTCCAGAGGGGCCATTCCCTCTTTTTCTCAGGAACTTGGGAGCTGATTTCCATTGGAGACATTCAGCTCTGTCTTTGCTTCCCACTAACTCATAGTCAGGAGGCAGGAACAGAATGCCCATGCCAGGAGCTCTCCTCACCCTCCTTGAAGATTTATTTGTTTGTTTGTTTTTGTTAATCCTCACACCTGAGGATATTTTTTTCATTGATATTTAGAGTGAGAGGAAGGAAAGGGGAGAGACAGAGAAACATTGATGAGAAAGAGAGAGACACATCAGTTACCGTATTTTTCGGACCATAAGACGCTCCGGACCATAAGACGCACCAGTTTTTAGAGAAGGGAAATGAAGAAAAAAAGATTCTGAAACAAATAGTGTCCTAAAATATTTTATGTGCATTAAAACCCAACATCACAGTCATAAACACATGTAATCAACCCTGTAAAGTAAACAGCAGCATTTAGAACCATTTTAGAGCCGGGCAAGCACGCAGAGAACACACAGAGCCGGGCAAGTAAAAAAACTTTTTTTTTAAAGTATATGTGTAGGCTATATTTACACATATAGCTTACACAGGGACTTTTTCCCCCCACTTCTGGTGGGAAAAAAGTGCGTCTTATGGTCCGAAAAATACGGTAGTTGCCTCCTGCACACACCCCGACCAGAGACGGAACCTGCAACCGAGGTACATGCCCTTGACCAGAATGGAACTCGGGACACTGCAGTCCCTGGGCTGATGTTCTGTCCACTGAACCAAACCAGGTAGGGCCTCCTAGAGCAGTAGTCACCAACCTTTCGGACCTCATGGACCACCGATTGGCGACCACTGTTCTAGAGGAATTTAGTGAATATGACCAATCGATCAAATCTGGGTAGAGTCAACTCACCGTAGGAAGTCACAGCCCCCCTCCCCCCATCGGTGAGGCTCCATGTGGGCTTCTGGTGGGCGGTTGTGACCTGAGTCTGGCCCCCAGCCTTGCTGATTCATTTCTTTTCCTTGGTGGCCAGTTTTGCCCCACTTCTGATGTAGTTGCCATTGCTTTTGCAGGTTTTAAAATCTTTTTAAGTGCTTTTGCTTCCTATAGGAATTGAGGTAGAGAATTCTGTTTCAGCCTGCTCTTTTCACATGTAAGTCCTTTGATATTTCCAAGTGACTAATCTAGTGATGACTCCTCCTCTCTCCTTGCTGAGGCCTGGCCTTATCACCCCCTTCCTCATTGCCTGGCACTCAGATCCCAGGTCTCCTGCAACCTCCCCTTAGTGCACTCACCTCTGCCTTTTTTACTCCTGGGCACCTCTCTGCCTGTGGCCCTAGCTCTTCCCTTCCCTTTTCCTCCCGCCTCCCTCAGCAGCAGCGTGGTGAGCTCCTTCCTTTTCTGCGGGTCTTTGCCTGCATCGCACCTTTCTTCAAAGACTTTCCTGCCTGCCCTCGTTACCTCTGCAGCTTTCTCTGATCGTCTCTCCTTCCAGCAATGATCACCTTCTGACATGTGCTGTTAAATGATAGCGTTCTGTGCTTACCCTGTCTTCTTCCCTGTCTGGTGCCTGAGGCAGCGAGAATGCAGTGCAGTGCCAGGCACAGTGGGGAGGGAGTGGGGAGGTGAAGGGTAGTGAACCCCTTGATTTTAATAGCTAAGCCAGTGGTCGGCAAACTCATTAATCAACAGAGCCAAATATCATCGGTACAATGATTGAAATTTCTTTTGAGAGCCAATTTTTTTAAACTTCTACTAACACCTCTTCTTCAAAATAGACTTGTCACGGCTGTGGCATTTTGTGGAGGAGCCACATTCAAGGGGCCAAAGAGCTGCATGTGGCTCTCCAATCACAGTTTGCCAACCATGGAGCTAAGCACTTCCCTATGACACAGAAAACTCTTTGAAAAAAATTGTTTTGGTGTGTTTTTTTTTTAGAGAGAGGAAGGGAGAGACAGACATTGATCTGTTCCACCCATTTATGCACTCATTGGTTGGTTCTTATATGTGCCCTGATTGGGGATCCAATTAGCTTATTAGAATGACACTCTTAGCTAACTGAGCTTCCTGGCCAGGGCGAGAACATAGGCACTTATTATTCAGTGTACATATGCCAAATTTACTTAACCGTTCCCGTGAGGTTGAACATTGATTCTTTCACAGTCATTAAAAAAGAAACCTTGAAATAGATCTCTTAAGGCTTTTTTATAATACTGTCAGATTTCCCCCCCAAAAAGACTGAGCGGGCGTTAGTTCATTGCTTTAGTGTTTTGTTTTATTTTTTTAAGAGAGAATGACAATTTCCCAGGTAAACTGTGCCATTTAAAGGCACCAGCATGGATTGTCACTCTGGACTGTTGGAAAGGCTGGATCTCAGGACTGCTTCCTTAGCCACAGCCCCTGGCTGTCAGGGAGGGATCATGGTGGGGTTCTCCCGTCTCTTGGGGATGAGTCCCCACCCCAGTGCACCCAACGTGCTGCTTCCTTGAGGGCAGAGGAATGGCAGCTAGGGCTGCGCAGGGGGCGGCAATCTGCTCATGGATAATTACAAGTGTTCTGCAGCAGTTCTGTTTTATATTTTTTGTAAACTCAATTCTTTACTTTTAAGAATTTTAAATACTTTTTACCTAACTTACAAACAACATCACTAGTTTAAAGCAATTTAAATGATAATATCTTTTTTAGAAATATATTTTATTGATTTTTCACAGAGAGGAAGGGAGAGGGATAGAGAGATAGAAACATCGATGAGAGAGAAACATCGACCAGCTGCCTCCTGCACATCGCCCACCAGAGATGTGCCCGCAACCAATCTACATGCCCTTGACCTGAATCGAACCTGGGACCCTTCAGTCCACAGACTGACGCTTTATCCACTGAGCCAAACCGGTTTCTGCTAAATGATAATATCTTAAAAACTTCCTCTTATTTTTGATACTATTTCTTTAAACACAGCTGGTTTTTATTTCCTGAATAGAGTGACTTTTTAAAAGAATTATAGTTTATGTATTCCTGAAGTTTAAGCATAGATAGGGGAGAATTTCAGGCCTGGCAGAGATATGTAGCATATTGGATATGAGTTGTTTTTATGACGAGAGAAGCTTGGACAATTTTGTTTTCTCTTGCTGCAGTATTATCCAGACAGTAAGGTTGCATATGGACCAATTCCCTTCAGTAATGTCTGGTTGTTGTGATTTTGAAAATCATAAGCATTTCACATATATCAATCCTTTTTATTTTTAAGTTATTTGGAAATTTGATCTTTGGCCTTATTTATTTATTTTATTTTTTATTTATTATTTATTTTGGGTTGTGTGTTTTTCTAAACTCCATTAGAAAGGAGTTTGTGGGTGGTATTTATATTGTTGCCAATCACACAGCTGGCAGTTACCCTTCCCATTGCTTTCCTGTTAGAACACTTAATAGCAGTTTGTTTCTTGTTTAGTAACAAAAAGTATCCTCTTCCCTTCACAGATACAAGTAGTAACAGAGTTAAAAACGGAGCAAGATCCCAACTGCTCTGAACCTGATGTGGAAGGAGTGAGCCCTCCCCCTGTGGGGTCCCAGACACCGATGGATGCAGACAAGCAGGCCATTTATAGGTAGCGAAGAGATGTGAAGCATGTGGGTTTAAGAGGAATAACGAGGGTAGAACACCTTGTTAAAGGGAACGTTAGAGCTATTAGCTAGGCAGAGTAAGATATGTTGTGGTAACTACTGGGGTGAAGATTTTTTCAGATTAAGATATTATTTCTAATATATTTCTTTAAAAAAGTTTTGTAACATAAATCACATTTTAGTTCACCTTGTGAAAAATAATATTCAGGCCCAGATGATTTTACTGAAGAATCCTACCAACCTTATGAGAAAAAAGCAGCATGTCTAAACAATCTTATCCAGAAAATAGAAGATGAAGACCACTTCCCAATTCATTTTACAAACTGAGCAACACTCTGGTACCATAGCAATCCCAAAAAATTCACAGACGAGTATGCCTCATGAATTTGGACATAAAATCATCAATAAAATAGTAGGAAATTGAATCCAGCCACAAAAATAATAGAATAATATATAATGACCAAGTGGAGTTTATGCCAGGAATGCAAGACTAGTTCACTGTTCAAAGATCAACCAATGAGATTCACAGTGTGATCATATCAAGTGATGCAGGGAAGCATTTAACAAAATCAAGAGCTAATTATTATTTAAAACTGTCAGCAAAGGGGAACTTTCTTAACTTGATGAAGGGCAACTACAAAACCCCATAGCTCACATCAGACTTGATGGTGAAAGATTAAATACTTTCCCCTAAGATTGGCAATGAAAGATTGGCAATAAAAAGATGAACTCTTTTTATTCAACACTGTAATAAAAGTCCTAACCAGGGCAGTAAGACAAGAAAAAGATTAAAGGGAAGAAAAAAAACTTGCTCAATACACAAATGACATGATTATCAACAGAAAATTCCAGCATCTACCAAAAGACTTCCAGGTACATAGTTAATTTAATAAGGTAACAGGTTACATGTGTAACACACCAACACCAACCCTATTTCTATACCTGTAACATACAAATGGAAACAGAAAACAAAAAGAGAGTACATTTACCAGAATTCAAAAAAACTTAGATATAAATCATACCTATAAAATGTTGATACAAGCAAATCAAAGACAACCTAATAAATGGCAGGGCATACCATGTTTATGGATTCAAAGATTCAATATAATACAGATGTCTGTTCTCCTAAAATCAGGCTATAGACTTAATACAATTCCAATTAAGTTTTATCAGGATATTTTTGTGCATATAGACAAGTTCATTCTATATTTTATATAGAAGTCAGAAGAACTAGATCAACTAAAATTTGAAAAAGAATAAAGGAGGAATCAAATCTATTTGATCTTAAGACTTGCTATCATGTTACAGTAATTAAGACATTGTGATATTTGTGAAGGGATAGATACACATAGATCAATGCCACAGAGAGAATTCAGAAATAAATCTATACAAATATGATTTGATCTTTAGCTAAGGTGTGAAAACAATTCAATAAGAGAAAAGGTAGACTTTTGGACAGATGGTGTTAGAACAATAGGATATCTATATTCAGAAAAGACCCTTGACCTACTTTGACATCTTATACAAAAAGTTACTCAAAATGGACTATCGACCTAAATGTAAATTTTAAAAATGTAAAATTGGTACATGCATATAATGGATATTATTTGGTCATAAAAAAGGAATGAGTTACTGATACCTGTTACAGCATCCATAAATCTTGAACACATGCTAAATGAAAGATGCCAGACACAAAAGATCTCATATATATATATATATAGAAGGCTAATATGCAAATTGTCCTCTTGGGAGACTGGAGTTTAACTACTCTCTATGATATGCACTGAGCACCAGGGGCCAGCAGCCAGAAGGCCCTGATTGGTGCTGACCAGCCAAGCCTAGGGACCCTACCCCTGTATGAATCTCGTGCACCGGGCCTCTAGTGTTATATGAAATGTCTAGAACTGGCAAATCTATAGAGACAAAAAACAGATTAGTGGTGGCCTAGGGATGGGACTTAGGGGTAAAATAATGTAAACTGCTAATGGCTACAGAGTTTCTTTGGGGGGATGATGAAAATGTTCTAAAATTGATTGTGATGGTTGCACAACTTTGTGAATGTACTAAAAACCGTTGAAAGACTATACTTTCAGGGATCATTTCTATCGTTCGCTAAAAACCGTTGAGTTGTAAACTTTGAAGAGATAAATTATATATTACATCAATTATATTTCAATGAAGTCGATGTGTCAAATAATGTGTACATATGTACATACCAAGCATTCTCATGCCATGTGTAGAGTGTGCATTTTTTTCTTTCCCCCAGGCACCCACTCTTTCCTTTATTGGCTTTGTTGTTTGAGAAATGCGAGCAGTCCACACAGGGCTCAGAAGGCACAACTTCCGCCAGTTTTGACGTGGACATTGAACATTTTGTAAGGAAGCAAGAGAAGGAAGGAAAACCCTTCTTTTGTGAAGACCCAGAAACTGACAATTTAGTGAGTAAATTAATGTGGCTTTTTTTATTTCTTCCAAATTTAAAATCTGTTCAATAAATTTTAAACTTCCAGTTAAAACGTTAGGCTCTTTGTAGTTCTACTAAAGGGGAGAATTGCACAATTCACGTGCGTGCGTGCGTGCGTGTGTGTGTGTGTGTGACTTGAATGTCTCCCAGTCTTCTCTCGTTACCCTCTCCTCTTAGCAAATAAGCTGGCGCAGCCTCCATCTTAGATGGGCCAGGGGATTCAGTTCTCTCTTAAACGTTTGAAAGGTTCATCAGGGTTGACATGCTCACCTACCTTGCTTCTCAGGCAGCATGTCAATGCTCAACTTCAGTCCTTGACAATTCCTTGGCCATGTACACATGACTATTCTCCAAGACAGCTCTGCCTTGACGCTCACACTGATTTGTGGTGGATGACAAAGTTAATCAAGACTTGGGGCCCAGCACTGAGCAGGGACAGGTTCCGAGGCCCCTCATGACCTGAAGCCAATCTGTCTGAAGCCAATCTGTCTCATATAAATGCCCTCCTCCTAGGTCCAGTGTTCTAAAACCCAGGGTTCTCTGCTTTCTGAAGGAAATGGAGAATTCTTTGGCGTTAATACACTGCTGCACCCCAGGGGAGCGGTGCCATTCAGTACTGTGGACACTGACAGCTGTGTCTGGGGTCCTCACTGGATTTCTGTTGAAGCCTGCTATGCTAGCTCCCAGATCAAAACCTTTGCCAGGCTCTGGTCAGCAGAAAGGGGCTTTGGAAATCTTTTTCCTGAATAAACTGCCCAGGTCTTCATTGCCGCTGTTTAAATTTCTCATTACATTTTTAACCATTATTGCCCAATAATAGATTTTAAGGTGAGTTGTCTGACTTTGAGTCTGTCTCTTCATCTTTTAAATGGAACTGACAGTGCCTGCCCTTTTGGATTTAGGACCAGGGACTCTCTCTGCCTCTGGTCTGTCATACAGCATTAGCAAGTGAGGGGCAGAAGTGGCCACAGTGGCCCCAGGCTGGCAGGGACCAAGGCTCTCCTGACTGATGTAAGGGCACAGGGCCTGGCAGAGCTGGATGCTTGGTATTCCTCATTATTGACTCACTGGCTGATTGGTTCCTCCACAAGTACTGTGAATTACTACCCCAGGCCGCAGGAGGAGGAGCTGAGGCAGGCGCTGCTGATGGTGATGGCTTCATCTGCTGCTGTGGGACAGAGTGTAGTGAATTAATCCAAAATCATAAACTTAGAAAAATCATAAGAGAAAATCTTTAGGATCTAGGGCTAGTCAAGAGTTCTTAGCCTTGACACCAAAAGCACGATCCATAGAAAGCAGAGACGGTAAGTTGAACATTATTAAACTTACAGAACCACCTATGAGATGGGTCTAGATCCATCCTAGTGTGTAGATGAAGCAGGAACAGAGAGAGGATTGGCAACTTGCTTGTAGGGCCTGAGGCAGTGGTGAAGCTGGCTGAGGTCTGGTTGGTCCTGGCACTGTACTCGCTGAGGTTGCACTGGCATTGTCCGTCTTCCTGCATATCAGAGGGAGCAGGGGTCTGGTGCTGGGACGATTTGTCATTTTGCACAATATCTGATGTAATTCCACTTCTGTCACTGGCAGTACAGATGGAGATGGCTGTGCAGGGTTCAGGCTAATAACCGAGAGTTGTTATGTGATGATTATTATAACTGAATGTCATGCTGCCTTTTCCTTGTCTGAAAGTCTTCATTTTCTCTGCTTTTAGATGGTCAAAGCAATCCAGGTTTTGCGCATTCATCTTCTTGAGCTGGAAAAGGTTAATGAACTCTGCAAAGATTTCTGCAGCCGATATATTGCTTGTCTGAAAACGAAAATGAACAGTGAAACTCTCTTAAGTGGAGAGCCTGGAAGCCCGTACTCCCCGGCCCAGTCCCAGGTATTTACAAGGGTCCTGCTCTGCTTCCTGGCTGCTGTACTCTGCAAAGGCGAACTGTGCTGATCCTGAGAATACCAGCCCTTTCAGAATCACAAGGCTGTCTTAATGGCTGTCCTGGCCCTCCAGATCTCTGACTCTGGCCTGGGCTGAGAGTGAATTCCAGACACCATCCACCTGGCTTCACACAGTGAATGCAGTGAGGCCCCGATCTGTACACTGGACCCTGGGTCCAATGTTTCTGGAGTTACATCCATTTCTTTTTTCCTTTTCTTAAATATACGAGAGGCCCAATGCACAAAATTCATGCAAAGGGCTCTGCCCTTGGGCCCCAGCTGCCTCACAGCCCCAGGGCCTGACCCCCTGCCCACTGGTCATTCTGAAAGGTCATTCTGCTGCCCGGCCTAATTAGCATATTAGCTCTTTATTCTACAGGATTTTTAAAAATTGTAATATACAGATATCACAAAATGTACCATCCTAACCATGTTTAAGTGTACAGTTTAGTGGCATTAAGCACATTAACATAATTGTGCAGCTATCATCACCATCCATTTCCAGAACTTTCCATCTTCCCAAACTGAAACTCTGTCCTCATTAAACACTAACTTGCATTCCCCCACCCCAGCCCCTGGCACCCACCATTATACTTTCTGTCTGTATGAATTTGACTCCTTTAAGGACCTTATGTAAGGGGAATCATTTGTCCTTTTAAAAACAAAACAAAACAAAAAAAAACAACCACACATGTCTTACTGTTTTCAGAGAGGAGGGGAAGAAGGAGAGAGGGATAGAAACTAATGATGAGAGAGAATCATGGATCAGCTGCCTCCTGCATAGCCCACACTAGGGATCAAGCCTGCAACTCAGGCATGTGCCCTGCCAGGAATCAAACCATGACCTCCTGGTTCATAGGTTGATGCTCAACCACTGAGCCACACCAGCTGGGCTGTATTTGGCTTATTTCACTCAGCATATGTCCTCAAGGTCCCTCCATCTTGGGGCCCTATTATATTGTAGCCATTCTGATAGATTATAATGACATTCATTGTGCTTGGAACTTACATCTCCCTGGTGGCTAATGATGCTGACTGTCTTTTTATGTGCTTATTTTCCCCTCTGTATATCCTCTTCGGTAGAATGTCTTCTCATATCTTTTGCCCAATTTCTAATTGGATTTTTTAAAAACTGTTGACTTTTGAGAGTATTCCAGATATTAGTCTTTTATTGGATATACATTTCATTATCTTTTTTTTTTTTAAGATAAATTTTTCAGGAATTTTAAAAAAATATATTATTGATTTCTTACAGAGAGGAAGAGAGAGAAATAGAGAGTTAGAAACATCGATGAGAGAAAATCATCGATCACCTGCCTCTTGCACACCCCCTGCTGGGGATGTGCCCGCAACCAAGGTACATGCCCTTGACCGGAATCAAACTCTGGACCATTCAGTCCGCAGGCCGACGCTCTATCCACTAAGCCAAACTGGTTTCGGCTATTTTTCATTATCTTATCAGTGTCTTTTGCAGAGCAAGTATTCACACCCCCTCCCCCATCTTTATTTTATTTTATTTATTTAAATTTTTTCTTTCCCATCCTACCACCTCACCTCCCTTTTAGCAGCAATTGGCTTGTTCTCTATATCTTTGGGCCTGTCTTTTTGTTTATTCATTTGTTTTGTCCTTTTAGGTTCTGCATACAAGTGAAATCATATGGTATTTGTCCTTCTCTATCTCATTTTACTCTGCATAACCTCTAGTTCCATCCATGTTATCTCAAATGGCAAGATTTCATTCTTTTTATTGCTGAATAATAAAATTCTATGGTATATATGCACTGCATCTTTTTTATCCATTCAGCCATTGCTTCCATATCTTGGCTGTTATAAATAATTAGAGGCCCAATGCACGAAATTCGTGCAAGAATAAGCCTTCCTTTCCCCAGCCGACACTGACTTCCCTCCCACACCCAGGACCCGGGCTTCCCTCTCAGCCCTGGCTTCATCCGGCAGGTTGTCCGGAAGGATGTCTGGTCTAATTAGCATACTACACTTTTATAATTATAATTTATTATTATAGATGCTTCGGTGAACATAAGGGTGTCTACATCTTTTTTAATTAGTGTTTTTGTTTTCTTGGGATAAATACCTAGAAGTGAAGTTGCTGGGTCACATGGCAGTTCTATTTTTAATTTTGGAGGGAACCTCCATACTGTTTTTCATAGTGACTGCATTAATTAGCAATCCTACCAATAGGGCATGAGGATTCCCTTTTGTCCACATTTTTGCCAACTCTTGTTTACAAAAACTTTTTAGTTTGATGTAGTCCCATTTGTTTATTTTTCTCTTTGTTTCCCCTGCTTGAGGAGATATATCCACAAAGATATTACTAAAACCAATGTCAAAGAGTTTACTGTCTATGCTTTCTTCTAGGAGTCTAATGATTTCAAGTCTTACATTTAAGTCTTAAATCCATTTTGAGTTTATTTTTGTAAATGGTTTAAAAAGTGGTAGCATTTTCTTTTATTTTTTATATATCCAGTTTTCCCAGCAGCACTTATTTTTAAAAAATATATTTTATTGATTTTTTACAAAGAGGAAGGGAGAGGGATAAAGAATTAGAAACATCAATGAGAGAGAAACATCGATCACCAGCAGCACTTACTGAAGAATCTGTCTTTACCTCATTGTGTATCTTTACCTCCTTTGTTGTACATTGACCATATAAGCAAGGATTTATTTCTGGACTTGCTATTCAACATTTTTTAAAATTGATAATTTCTACTTACCAACTTTTCCCTTTATGAGTGGTGATTTTTGTGTCAAGTTTAAGAACTCTTTCCCTAGCCTTGGTTAGATCCCAAAGATTTTCTCTCATTTTTTTATAAATTTTATATTTTACATTTAAATCCATGGTCCGTTTTGAGTTAACTTTTGTATAAAGCATGAGGATTTTGGCTGACATTCATTTGTTTGCCTCTGAATATTCAGTTGTCCAGCACCATTTGTTAAAAAGACTCCTTCCTCCATTGAATTGCTTTTGCACCTTGTCAAAAGTCAGTTGGGCATATATAAGATTTATTTCTGTGCCTTTTGTTCTGTTCAAATTTATATATCTATACCTTATAGTTTTGATTTCTGTAGTTGTATAATAAATCTCAAAATTCAATAGACTGATTCCTCTGACTATTCTTTTTCAAAATATTCTTTTCTCAAAATACTTGAGTTATTTATAGTTCCTTTGCCTTCCCATATAAATTTTAAAATAATCTTGTCTGTATCTACAAAAAAAAAAAAAAAAGTTACTAAGATTTTGATAGGAATTGGATTAAACCTTATGTTGTTTTGGGGAGAATTGACATCTTTAGTATGTTAACTCTTTCAGCTCACACACATGGTGTGTCTCCCCATTCATTTATTCTTTCTATGATTTCATTCATTAGTTCTCAACATAGGAGTCCTGCCCATGTGTTTTTAGAATTACACTTTAGTATTTTTGTGTGTGTTTTTTTTGTGTGTTTTGTTTTGTTTTTTGAGCAATTGTAAATGGTATATTTTTAACTTTTGTGTCATATTAGTTTATAGAAATGCAGTTGGTTTTTATTTTTTATTTTAAAAATATATTTTATTGATTTTTTTACAGAGAGGAAGAGAGAGGGATAGAGTTAGAAACATCGATGAGAGAGAATCATCAATCAGCTGCCTCCTGCACACCCCTCACTGGGGATGTGCCTGCAACCAAGGTACATGCCCTTGACCGGAATCGAACCCGGGACCCGTCAGTCCCCAGACCGACGCTCTTCCACTGAGCCAAACCGGCTTCGGCACATCGAGTCTTTTAATATTGAGCAATCCTTGCATTTCTGGAATAAACTGCACTTGGTCATGGTGTGTAATTCTTTTTATATGGATTTCCGAATTGTCTTCTAATTGCTAATATTTTGTTAAGCATTTTTGTGTCTATATTGAGGGATATTGACCTGTAGTTATCTTTTTTTGGTGCAGTCTTCATTTATGTTTGGCATTAGGATAATACAAGCTTCAGAAAATGAATTGGAGAGTGTTTCCTTCTCTTCTGTTTTTTTAGGGAGGGGTTGGAATTTGTATTAATTTTTCTCTAAATGTTTGATAGAATTCTTCAGTGAACCTACCTGGACCTGGAGATTTCTTTTTTTGGAGGTTTTTAAATTACACATTTAGTTTCCTTAATAGCTATAGGGCTATTCAAATTATCTAGTTCATATTGGATTTTGTCTACTATGTCAAGTTTATATGTTGAGTTCATGGTATTTCTTTTTCTCCTTTTAATGTCTGATCTCCCCTGTTTCATTTCTGATATTGATAATTTGCCTTTTTTTCTGTTTGGAGTCACTCCCGGGCCCACATAGCTTCCTATCACCCCGACCTCAGCACAGGGCACATCTGAGTCCTGCCGCCCTGTGTGCCCAATCTGGGTGCCTGCATGGAACAGACCTCATGCTAGATGCCAGGTATAAGGATCCTCTCCCTTGTGAACCACAAACCCAGCCATCAGCCGTGGGTAAATTCACCCATTTGGATCTAATGTCAGATCATTAGAATCTCTGACAAGATGTTTATAAATGTTTACAAGGAGTGTGCGGTGGGCCAGGCCTAGGCCCAGTACTCCAAACTCAGTGTGCACACAGGGAGGTGGGACTCAGATGTGCACTGTGCTGAGGTCGGGTGAGAGGAAGCTATGTGGGCCCGGGAGTGACTCCCCATCGCCACGCAGAGCCTCCAAGCCTGTTGGATAATCTTCTGAAAGCGCTCATACATTCAAGGAGGCACCGGTTCTTGGAAAACCAAGAGTCTGCACCAAATTGAATGGGAAAGTTGTGTGATAAGATTAGGTAATTTTGTCTCCTAGTCACATCTCCAAGACTGTTAAGGAGTGGTTAAAATGCAGTGAGATGAAAGATAATCTTTGGAAGCCAAATTGAAACTAATATCTTAGTATTGATCATCACATTTAATATTCAGTCAGACTTCCCTCTCCTGGTTTCCAGATATGTAGAACCTGCTTCATGGAAGGCTTGTCATCTGATTGTGCTCTTTGCCTCAAGCATCTCCTTTATTAATAATGCCGTTCATTATACCACTTGTTAGGAAGTTTTAAATATGGGTGTTCCGTTTTCTAATAATCCCTTCTTGTGTATTTCCGACTTACAGCAGATTCAAAGTGCCATCACAGGCACACTCAGCCCCCAAGGAATTGTGGTGCCTGCATCCGCGCTGCAACAGGGGAATGTAACTATGGCAACAGTGGCAGGTATGGTGATGGAATAAAGGACACCTTTTCCTTAGCTTTTGCAGAAAAAGTCCTTCATAGTAGAATGGAGACTTGCATAAACATAATTTTAAATTAATGCCAGTTCCCTAATAGGAGTCCCATAATCTAGGCTTCTTGAATGCTTGTTTCTTGTTAATTCTCAGTGGCAAATATTTTATGCAAATTGTTTCCTTACCAAAAAATGTTGGGAAGAAAGGTTTTGTATAGGAATTGAAACTTTATAGCAAAAACTAATTGTAATTCTCAAATAACTGTTTTTAAATGTGCTCTTAGCAGCACCTGAAAAATCTTATGTGTGTCATTAATTGATGACAAGCAAATAAAAATGCAGTCTTAGTCTTGATCTAATTTATATGATAAAAACCATCACAGGGGTCCCAGGTTCGATTCTGGTCAAGGGCCCATGCCTGGGTTGTGGGCTCGATCCACAGTGGGAGGAGTGCAGGAGGCAGCCCATCAATGATTCTCATCATTGATGTTTTTTTCTCTCTCTCTCCCTCTTCCTTCCTCTCTGAAATCAATATATATATATATATATATATATGTGTGTGTGTGTGTATATATATATATATATATATATATTTAAAATCATCATAGGAAGAGGACAGATTCTCCAGTTCCCTGTTGCACCTAGAATATTACAAATACAAGACCATCATGAAAATATAAGAAGGGGAAGCAATTTACACTAAAAGCCCCAAGTAATAGCACAAAGGGAAACCTCCACAGCAAAATAAAGCACATTTGACCAAAAAAAGAAACATAATAAAAATACTTGTCATCTGAAACCTTTGGCCAAATCCTTTGATACGTTCTAATTGTGGGGAAAGTGGAAAACAGGGGCAAGCAAAAGGTAAGGGAGTGCATACCCCCAGCCGTGCCCTGTGCCCTGTGCACTGTCTGAGGACAGTAGGGATGCCCGTCAGCACAGTGTCACCTGGGCACTGCTTGTGCGGTGAGTTTACTTCGGTCATTCACAGTGACAAGTCAGCTAGCAAAGTATCAATCATTTGAAAGATGTAAAAAGCTCATCAAACTACAGATTTTATTCTTTTCATAGTATAGTGAGAAGATTGGTTTTAAACCATCGAGACATAAATTTAATTTTTCTTCTTCTTCCTTTTTGAGGTGGCACAGTTTATCAGCCTGTTACAGTTGTCACTCCTCAAGGCCAAGTAGTGACACAGGCGTTGTCACCTGGGACAATCAGGATCCAGAACTCCCAGGTGTGTGAGCCATCCCTGTGGAGGGGAGGGGAGGATCGGGAGGGGGAGGAAGAGCTGCACCGTGGAAGTGCAGGTGGAGCGGGCTGGAGCCATTCTCTCTGGGTGAAGATAACTTATCTCATACTCGCTTTCTTGCAGCAGCCTCCAGTTAATCTGAATGTCAGTATTTTGTTTCTTTTTACTCTTCAGATCTATCATTGTAAAAAAGTTGCAAAGTTTAGAAAAGTCTAAGGAAGCCGGAAAAAAATTATCTGTTATCTCTTCCCTTAAGCAACCACTGTAGACCAACTTAATGCCGGATTGTGTAGTTGTCTCTGCACCAGGAGATTTGAAGCTATGTGGAGGTGCTCCCCCCTCTAGTCTCCAGGTCACAGCAGGACTGCAGGCAGGTTTTTGAGACCATGCCCAGCTGCCCACACCTCCAGCATGAGAGGATTGGCTGGATTTGGGGCCTGTGTGTTCTGAAAAACTGTTCTTGGCCTTTCTGCTAAGCCAGAGCATGGCTTCAGGGTGTCCGGGGCACTTGCTTAATGCCCCCCACACCTTGGTGAGAAATCTGAAAGAGGGCTCCCCTTTTTCCTCTGTACACTGCCCACTGGGGGTGCTACTTCAAGAAGGCTGGTCTGCTGCTCCTTTCGTGGCCCACCAGCTCCCAGAGCACAGAGCACTTTTAGGGCAGAAGTAACAGCTGGAAATGCAGTGACATGCCAGTACCTTGGGATGGTCCTACCTACCCTCTCTGTGTCTTTGGTAAGATGAGACTGAATTTGGTGGTCTTCCAGACCCCTCTAAGTTCTGGACACACTCACACACACACACTAATACACTTTTACATTTAGCTGGGTTTAAATAAGAAAATGTTTCTGTTACCTGTTCTTACTTAAGAGCATTGATTCCCTCTTTATGTTAGGTGCTTGTCTTTGGCCTGTGCAGATATTTTCTATATTCTTAACCATTTTGAGGCCCCCTCTTGGGGATGTGGGTGTTTGTGAGCCAGCACAACTAGTATGGAGTTCCTATCTTTGAATTCATGGAAGGTTTCATTGTATAGTCATGCTGGGGCTGGTCATGGCTGAGTGGTTGTGAGGCTTCAAGAGACTAGGTGACTTCCCAGTAAGAAGAGGGGTGAGGGTGAGAGAGGAGCTAGGCCTACCCACCTTGGCACTAGGTCCTCGGCCATCCTGTAGTTTTCCACTTACAATGGCTGTAAGCATAGAGCAGGGCCTGGTTTGAGTGTTGGCCTAGTATTAAAGTGAACTGTTCCTGCTCTGGCCAGCATGGCTCCATTGGTTGGGCATTGTCCCTTGCACTGAAAGGTTGCCAGTTCGATTCAGGTGAAGATAGGTTGTGGACTTGATCCCCAGTTGGAGGGGTGGAGGTCTGCAGGAGGCAACCTATCAATGTTTTATTCTAGCATCCATGTTTCTCTTCCTTCCTCTCTCTAAAAATCAGTAAAAATGTTTTTGTTTTTTAAAAAATATAGTGAGCTATTCTTAGAGGAAAACTTTTAAAAATCAAATACCTCACTTATATACTAGAGGTTCATTTGACCTGCTGTTTGAGAAGGAAGTTTCCTAATTAACTGAATTTTCTTACAGACAAAAATTTCTACTTTAAATAGCAAACATAACAAGTTTGGATTATTTCAGTAGAACACCTTGTCATGTTCAATGTGACATCACTCCCCAGATCCCTTCGGCAGATCCCCAGTGAGGTCCCTCCCTGCTTCTGCCTGTGTGCTGCCCTGCTCTGGTCCACAGTGGCCACGGTGCCCACGGTGCCCTTGGCGCCCTTGGCCTTACCTGTCCTGTCCTCCCTGTTGTTGCTCCCAATGTGGCCGGCAGGAAAGCCAGAGGAAAGGGCTGCTCAGGTTCCTAACAGAAGAATAGACCTGATAGAGGTCTTGGCGGGGTGTTCTTTGAATAAAACCTGCATGTTATTTGTATGATTCTGTTAGGCTGCTCCGGGCTATTTTTTCCTTCTTTTTTGGCCAAGGTTTGGGCTCTTGTGCTTAAATCATTAGAGCGGGCAATTTACCAGCAAGTGCTTCTGTGCTGTGTCAGAAAATCTCAGGGTTGGTTTGTCTAGAGTAGGGGTGTCGAACTCAATCAGAGAAGGGGCCAAAATCTAAAATCCAGCCTAAATCGCGGGCCAAATGGTTTACTGAACAGTCATAAACTGTCATTGTGATGGAAACACAGCGGAGTGCAGTGATGACAGCGCAGTGCGGGCCACATTGCAAGGCCTGGCGGGATGGATTTGGCCCGCAGGCCTTGTGTTTGACACATGTGGTCTAGAGAATTGGTATTATCACAACTCCTCTTGTTACTCTGGTGTTGGCATTAACCAGGTGGAGCTCAGTAGCACAGCAGTGTGGTGGCAGCCCTGGATGTGCCTGTGCCATCCTATCCCTCCCCCCCCAGGACAGGTCCCTGCCCACTGTGGGAAAGGATTGTGGGCATATGGCAGAAGGCGGAGTGAGAATTTAGCCCAGCATCACTCAGCTCTGTGGAAAGAATCAGCACTGGTGGGGAAGTGGGCAGGGTTCGGATTCTCACTTCCTACTGCATTCCTAGGAAAAGGTATTTTATTATACTTCTAATACAAACCCATTGAAAAACATTTTTTGAGAGGAATAGAGAAACCAAGATGGCAGCACAGGTAAACACCTAAATTGCTGCCTCACACAATTTCAAAACTACAACTAAAAGACAAAACTGACATCATCCAGAAACACAGGAAGGCTGGCTGAGTGGGAATTCTACAACTAGAAGGAAAGAGAAAAGCACACTGAGACTCACAGGAGCTGCAGAAGGTAGAAGTATGCAGGGACGCACATGGAGGGGGCTGGAAACTGAGTATGCAGCTGGCTCTCTCAATCAGGAGGGAGACAAAAGATCCCGAATGCTCTGAATTCCAGTTCCGGGTGAGACTCTGGGATCGCAGACTCATTCAAGGAGAAACTGGACTGTCTGGCAGCAGGCAAAACTCAATGGCAGCATTCTCTCAGAAGTGCTTGCAGCGATTACTGTGAGAGATTAAGACAGGTGGGCCTCTTAAGGCAGGACTGTCAGGAAGCCATTGCTATTGGCCCCGTCCCGAGAATCTGCCCCATCCAAGCTGAATGCAGAGGCTTTTGCAAGTCTTATCTCATAAGGTGTCTCTACCACAGAAATTCTCCCACTGCAGACACAACTGATCCTCACAGCCAATTGGCCTGGAGCTCAATTCCTCTCAGTACTACCAACAGCAATCAAGGCTTAACTACAACAAGACTATGCACACAGCCCACAAAGGGGTGCACCAACCACTCGTAAGGTGCACTTACCACCTCAGGTAATTGGGGAGGTTGAGCCACTGGGCCCAATAAGTCACCTAGCACACAAAGCCACTTTATCAATACAGGGAAGCAGCCAAAATACAATGACAGAGAAACAGGTCACAAATGAAAGAAACGGAGGAAAGCAAATGACTGGATATAGAGTTTAAAACCACGGTTATAAGGTTACTCAAGAATCTTCTAGAAAAGGCCAAGAAATTTAGTGAGACCCTCAAGGATATGAAAAAGGACCAACTAGAAATTAAGCATACACTGACTGAAATAAAGAATAATATACCGAGATCCAACAACAGACTAGAGGATCCCAAGAATCAAGTCAAAGATTTGAAATACAAAGAAACAAAAAAAATACCCAACCGGAAAAGGAAAAAGAAAAAAGGATCCAAAAATATGAAGATAGTGTAAGGAACCTCTGGGACAACTTCAAGCATACCAACATCCGAATTATGGGGGTGCCAGAAGAGGGAGACCTAGATACTGAAAACCTATTTGAAGATATAATGACAGAAAACTTCTCCCACATGGTGAAAGAAATAGACTTACAAGGCCAGAAAGTGCACAGAACCCCAAGCAAAAGGAATCCAAAGAGGACCATTCCAAGACACATCATAATTAAAATGCCAAGAGCTAAAGACAAAGAATATTAAAAGCAGCAAGAGAAAAACAGTTAGTTACCTTCAAGGGAGCACTCATACAATTGTCAGCTGCTTTCTCAACAAAAACTATGCAGGCCAGAAGGGAGTGGCAAGAAATATCCAAAGTGATGAATAGCAAGAACCTACAACCAAGATAAACCAGCAAAGCTAGCAATCAGAATTGGAGGTCAGATAAAGAGCTCCACAGATAAGAAAAAGCTAAAGGAGTTCATCACCAAACCAGTATTATATGAAATGCTGAAGGGTATTCTTTAAGAAGAGGAAAAAGAAGAAAAAGATAAAGATAAAAATTATGAACAGCAGAGTGACAAAAAAAATACATATCTATCAAGTGAATCTAAAAATCGAGTGAATAAAAAATCTGAAAAATATAATAGAATCAGGGGCATATAAAGGGAGTAGACTGACAATTCTTGTGGGGAAGTTGGTGGGTGAGGGGGGTGTTGGAAGAGACAGGACAAAAATTGTACACCTATGGGTGAGGACAGTGGGGGGCATGGTAAGGGCAGAGTGTGGGGTGGGTACTGAGTGGAGGGGAGCTATGGTGCGGGGGGAAGAGGAACAATTATAATAATCTGAACAATAAAGATTTATTAAAAGCTTTTTTTGAGAAAAGGAGAAGTAACCAAGAGGTGAGATTTTGTTGATGTTTCTCCTTTTCCCCTCCCCGTGGCCTAGCAGTCTTATTTCTACTACCATAGTCAAGTTGCCATGTCATAGGTCAGTGTCCAGTGTGCTGAAATTTCTGAATTAAAGCACGAGAAGCAGCAGAGATGCCCCTGGTGTGTCCACGCTGAGGCCCTAGTAAGCCATGCAGTTGACTCTTGAACAGCCTGGGTTTATACTTATGCGCAGGCGTATAGGAGGACCTGCACAGTTCAGACCCGCGTTGTTCAAGGTCCCGGGCATCTGTTTTCTTCCCTGGTGCCCCCAGTGACCACTGTGACACCATCTCTGCAGGCAGCTGGGAGAGAGAGGCTGAGCCTGGGAAACATGCCTGGCCTCAGCAGGGCCTGGTAACATCGTCTTTTCTCAGGTTTGCAGGAGACATTGATCTAAGAACTGCCCGTGCACACTTCCCTGTTGAAACGCAATGACAGGAAGTGCTGTGTGCTTTCCTCAGGGATGGGGGAAGCTGTGTTCCCAGAGGCCGGGGAGGCCCCCTGAGGAGGCCTTCACCACAGCCGTCGCTCTGTGATCTCTGTTGCACTTTGTGTGTTGCTGTTTGCTTCCCTGTCCAATCTCAGTGGTCGCTTTAAATCTTGGATGTTATCACTTTAAATCTTGGATGTTATTCCTGGAAGAAGCAAGATGAGAACAGGTGTTGCATGAGAGACACAGGGCTTACCTGTCCGCAGGTGAACGACTCAGGGGCCTTCTCAGCATCCATCCCATCTGCCTCACCGGACGAGGGGCCGCTGCAAAGCTGAGGCACTAGTGTAAATAGTTGTAAGACAGAGGGAACCAAAGCCCGAACAGGGTTCCAGTGTATGTGCCTCTATTGTGAGTCCCATATCTCTAAGATCCTTGGGTATTTTCTGCATCAGAAGTGGTGAGATACTTGGGAGTGACATAATTTTCTCTGCTCTCTAACGCTATCTTCCCATGTTTAAAAGCTTCAGTTACAGTTAAACCAAGATTTGAGCATCTTGCATCAAGACGATGGCTCATCCAAGAACAAGAGGGGCGTTCTGCCAAAGCATGCCACCAGTGTGATGCGATCCTGGCTCTTTCAGCACATAGGGGTAAGACCACGGACCTCTCGGATAGTGACATCCTCCCCCCGGGCTGCTTTCTGGCTTGTTTTCTAGGGAAAAGTTGCCTGTACATGCTAGTAGGCCTGGTTTTTAATATCTGTATATTGTTAACGGTCCATGTGGGTTGAGTGTGGAACAGAAGGGAGAGTTACCAAAAAATGGAGCACATCACTTCAAGAAACTTACATAAATGAGGGTGAAAAGAGAATCAGTTCAGCTCATACTAGTCTTATGCGTGTTAGAGAAGCTACTCGTGAAGGGTGACAGGGTGAGTGAGGTTAATTAGAGAATGGGCATTTGGGCAAAACCTTGGTATAGAGCAGTGATTTACCGTATTTTTCGGACCATAAGACGCACTTTTTTCCCCCCAGAAGTGGGGGGGAAAAGTCCCTGTGTCTTATGGCCCAAATATAGCCTACACATATACTTTAAAAAAAAAGTTTTTTTACTTGCCCGGCTCTGTGTGGTCTCTGTGTGCTTGCCCAGCTCTAAAATGGTTCTAAATGCTGCTGTTTACTTTACAGGGTTGATTACATGTGTTTATGACTGTGATGTTGGGTTTTAATGCACATAAAATATTTTAGGACACTATTTGTTTCAGAATCTTTTTTTCTTCATTTCCCTTCTCTAAAAACTGGTGCGTCTTATGGTCCGGAGCGTCTTATGGTCTGAAAAATACGGTATATGTTGGATTTCTAAGGGAGATGCACTAAGAAACCCCGAAATAGAGCTGGATAGTTGAGCATATGAGCAGAGTGGTCAGCAGATGGCTTGTTGAACTTGAGATACAGTTGGGCCAGCAGGCAGCACCCACCCATCCCATCTGTCTGAGCCCCTGGCTTCTGTGAAGACGCCTTGTCTTAGGAAGCACACACTGTGGGTTTAATGGGACAAGCTCACTCGTTACTAGATTGAGCCTCAGTCCTCACACCACCGACCTCAGGGAAGGCCAGAGACTCAGAACAGCTTTCAGAAATGACTCCCAGTGTAGTGGCCAGAGTCAGACTGACCAGGACAGCTGTCAGGAGCAGGTGGGAACAGGAGAAGTAGATGCTCTTCCCTGCTGAGCCATAGCCGTGTTCAGGCAGGAGAAGAGCGAGCAAGGGTGCTGGATGGACAGAAGGAAAGGAGGCCTGCCCAGCAGCCTCATGAAGAAGCTTTCAGGCCGGGTACCTCCATCCACAGTCAGTTCTTTCGGAGTATAGTGGCCGCCTGCTCCTTGAGCCGCCCTGGCCCCAGGTTGTCCCTAAGAGCTGTGCTGGCCCCGGGATCTGCCTCTCCACTCCACCGCAGTTGTCACCTGCTCCTGTTTTCAGCTGATGGCCACTTCCTCACTTTCTCATCTTTGTCGCTGTCCTGGAGCTATTGCTGTCAGTGGCGGTGTCTTACAGGCCCCCATCTCCTCACGCCCTTCCTCTTCCTTCACCCTGTCACAGGCCTGAGGGTCCCTTGGCACCTGTCTACATTTTCACTCCGATTGTGCGCCCCAAGACCAACACCCAGCTCTCAGTCATCTCTTTCCCCCTGGGGTCACTGTTTCGTGCCCCCCTTTTTCTGGCATTGGGCTCCTCCCCGAGGGCCAGGAGCCTGATAGCTGTGATGTCACTGAACAGTCCTGGGGGACAGGGAGATCCCTCCTTTTCCTGAGGGGAAACGTTGAAGGATCTGAGGCTGCCCCTCCCTGAGCCCCAGGCCCCAGCTTTCTCTCTGTTAGGCTATTGCCACCAGCCGGACATGAAAGCTGGTGTCAGGGGAAGGAACTTTGTGACCATGTCTAAATATGTCCTAAAAAATGCACAAGAAAATTAAATACTTTTACATTTTATCTGAAAAAGAATAGACATTTTAAAATATATTGTGATTTTTATAACCAATAAATATAACTGTGATTGGCTTTCCTGTTAAGCTTCCTTTAATAATTTCTAAAACAATAACCCTACTCAGATATTCAGTAAAAATGCCACATTTTTCCTCCTATGAAGTATTTTCTATCTCTGCTTGCCTGCCCTTTTTTTTTTTTTTTTTTTTTTTTTTAATATTGTACTATCCTTATAGTTTTTCTAGTACTCCAGGACAGCATTTACCACTGGTGTTTGTTTTCTGGTTTGTACACTTTTAAAAAATGTTTTTAAAAATTCATTTCAAAGAGGAAGGGAGAGGGAGTGATAGAAGCATCAGTGATGAGAGAGAATCATTGATCTGCTGCCTCCTGCACACCCCCACTGAGGATCGAGCCCACAATCCAAGTATGTGCCCTGACCAGGAATTAAACTAGGACCTCTTGGTTCATAGGTCAAGGCTCAACCACTAAGCCACACCATCTGGGTTAGTTTATGTACTTTGGTTTCTCTCCCTTTATTTTATGAGCTTTTTAAAGGGCAAGAGCAATACTTATGTTTTCATGACATCTCCCTCGGGGCCATACGCTCATCCATAGAATCAAATTGAGTTGCTGCCAGCTGAATGGAAGAAACAGGTAGACTGCTGCTGATCCATTATCACGGTCATGCACAGTGACTATTCCAACAGACTGAGTGTTCACTTAAAATAAAAACGGGATGCCGAAACCGGTTTGGCTCAGTGGATAGAGTGTCGGCCTGAGGACTGAAAGGTCCAGGTTCGATTACGGTCAAGGGCATGTACCTTGGTTGAGAAAACATCCCCAATTTTCTAACTCTCTATCCCTCTTCTTTCCTCTCTATAAGAAATCAATAAAATGTCATCTCTGAGCCTCAGGCTGACGGGTCTGACCAGCATGAGCTCCAACCAGCTGCCATTCCAGGGCATTCCTGGGCAGCCAGGAGAAACACTTCATTCTGCTTGGATGTTTCTAAAAATAAAAATAAAAACTGTGAGACTAAAGTGTTTAACTGAAAGCAATATTGATTGGTACTTGTCAGTTTATAAATGATTATTTGTTTGCCTGGATTTTACCTAGGAAATCCTGAGTTCCTTTTTAAAAATTGAAGTTCATAGTGACCCTTTTTTTTTTTTTTTAGCATCCCTACCCAACAGAAGATGAGAAAAAACAGATTGCTGCTCAGACAAATTTGACACTACTCCAAGTTAACAACTGGTAAGACACGCCCACTTTCCAAAACTGTGCCTGTAAACATCATAGAACACTTGGAAACACTGACACTAATATCTAGTAAAATTTGGTTGAAAATAATTATTTTATTTTATTTATTTATTTATTTTTACAGAGAGGAAGAGAGAGGGATAGAGAGTTAGAAACATCAATGAGAGAGAATCGTTGATCAGCTGCCTCTTGCACACCCTCTACCGGGGATGTGCCCGCAACCAAGGTACATGTCCTTGACTGGAATCGAACCTGGGACCTTTCAGTCCTCAGGCCAATGCTCTATCCATTGAGCCAAACCTGTTTCGGCTGAAAATAGTTCTTTTAGCTAGCAATACTCTGTTTTCAGAGTGCTGGAATTAGTGGTAGACACTTAAGAATAAATCAGCACACACTTTTTTTTTTTAATCTATTGATTTCAGAGGGAGAGAAACAGACATTGATTTGTTGTTCCACTTATTTATGCAGTCATTGGTTGCTTCTTGTATGAGCCCTGATGCGTGATTGAACTCTCAACCTTGGTGTATTGGGATGATGCTCTAACCACTGACCTACCTGACCAGGGCTCAGCACACACTTTCAACTTATATTTTTCATGATCAACATCTCTTTGTGGGCTTTTTGCTTATATCTATGCTTGCCCAATTAGAAATGTGTTTCTCTATTGTGTTACTACTCCCAAGCCCCCGAATTCATTCAGAAATCTGATGTTTTCCTGGCTAAGCTTACCTCTGGTGGCCTCTCTGCAGCTCTCCCCCTTTTGAAACTTGTGTTGTGTCCCTTTGGGGAGTCAGTCCTCACTGTCTGTGTGGTGGTCCTGCCCCACAGCAGCACCTGGGGTGGGGGAGATGCCCAGAATGGTGATTATTTTTTTTTATATAAGTTTTTATTGTTCATATTATTACAAATGTTCCTTCCCCCCCCTCCCCACCATTGCTCTCCTCCACCAGGTTCCCACCCCACCCTCTGCCCTTTTCCCTCTCCCCATTGTCCTCATCCATAGGTGCACAGTTTATGTTCAGTCTCTTCCCACGCCCCCCTCTCCCCTTTTCCCCAAGAATCGTCAGTTCACTTCCCTTCCATACCTCTGATTCTATTATATTCAATAGTTAATATTGTTCCTCAGATTTTTTTAATTTCCTTGGTTTTTAGATTCACTTGTTGATAGTTACGTATTTGTTGTTCATAATTTTTATCTTTGTTTACTTTCTCTTCTAAAAGAACGCCCTTCAGCAATTCATATAATTCTGGTTTGGCGGTGATGAACTCCTTTAGCTTTTTTTTATTAGTGAAGCTCTTTATCTGGCCTTCGATTCTGAGTGATAGCTTTGCTGGGTAGATTATTTTTGGCTGTAGGTTCTTGCTATTCATCACCTTGAATATTTCTTGCCATTCCCTTCTGGCCTGCATGGTTTCTGTTGAGAAGTCAGCTGACAATCGTATAGGTGCTCCTTTATAGATTACTACCTTCTTTGCTCTTGCTTCTTTTAATATTCTCTCTTTGTCTTTTGCTCTTGGAATTTTAATAATGATGTGTCTCGGTGTGGTCCTCTTTGGATTCCTTTTGTTTGGAGTTCTGTGCGCTTCCTGGACTTGTAAGTCTAATTCTTTAACCAGGTGGGGGAAGTTTTCTGCCACTATTTCTTTCAGTATGTTTTCGATATCTTGCTCTCTCATCTTCTGGGACCCCCATAATTCTGATGTTGGTTCGCTTGAAGTTGTCCCAGAGGTTTCTTACATTATCTTCAATTTTCTGGATTCTCTTGCCTTCTAGCTTCTGTGGAGGAGTGTCTTCTGGCTCTTTATGTTCCAAATCTTTGACTCGATTCTTGTGATCTTTCCTTCTGTTTTTAGGACTCTGTAAAATATTTTTTATTTCAGACAATGTATTCTTTATTTCTTGTTGATCCCTTATCATTTCTCGATGACTCCTTATTAATTCTAGTTGATCTCTTTTCATATCCTCATAGGCCTTATCCATCTTTTCTAGGAAATTCTTGAAAAACCTTATAAGCGTAGATTTGAACTCTAAATCCAGTCGCTTTTTGTCCTCTATTTCTTTTGTTTGTGATCTATTTCGTTGTCGCATTTCACAGTTACAGGTTGGACGGGGTTTCAGGGTGGAGCCTGCAGCTTTGGCTTCCATCAGCCCCGCCCTATGCGGGTCCTTCAGTGCTCGCTGCCGGCGCCTCTGAGAGAGAGGTGCCCTCGATTTTCACCTGCTGCCAAACAGTCTATGCTCTCCCCCAATGAGCCCGGTATTGGGGTTCAGTTCAGTTGGAAGTGGAGTTGGAGGTGGCGTTCAGAGCAGTCTGGAGCCCCAGTCTCCTTCCCGTCAGAGCAATCCCGCGGCTCAGCCGAATGTCCCTTCTCTGTGCGCAGTGTGCGCACCGCCGGGACCTCCTTTCGCCTCTCCCCGGGGTTCCGCCTTACAGCCCGGCTCCCTATGGCTGAGCCTGAGTCCCTGGGGTCTGGCTTAAAACTGGGGATCAGAGCAGTCGGGGGCCCAGCACAGTCGGAGTTTTATCTCCTTTCCGCTAGGGAACGCCCACCAGGCACTCGGCCTCCCTCCTCTCCGGCTCCTCCTCTCCTCGCGCCGCGTCTCCGTACCTTGGCTTTTCCAGCTCCTCCGCACCTCCTTCTGGTTTTCTCCTTGCTTCTCACTGTAGAATTTCCAGTCAGTCAACCTTCCTGTAGTTCTGGGCAATGTCCGTTTTATATTTTAGTTGTATTTTATTGAAATTGTTGTGTGCGGCTGCAGCTAGGTGTTCACCTGGGTGCAGCCATCTTGGATCTCCCAGAATGGTGATTATTAATGAGACATTCTGCTCTGGTTTTTGTGTCACATGTGACTCGGGATACCTGGACCATGACCACGTGTATTCCCTTCAGTCAGAGCTGTTCACGTTACTAAGTGGCACTAAAGTCTAGGAGGCACTTAGATCTTGTTTGTCAGTCACTCATCTCATGTTTATTATTATTCAGACATAAGAAGTGACTTCAGCTTAATAAAATTCACATGCATAAAAGAAATGATGTCCTAGCTGGTATGGCTCAGTGGATAGTGTGTTGGCCTGCAGACTGAAGGGTCCTAGGTTCGATTCTGGTCAAGGGCATATACCCAGTTGCAGACTCAATCCCCAGTAGGGGTCATGCAGAAGGCAGCCAATCAGTGATTCTCTCTCATCATTGATGTTTCTATCTCTCTCTCCCCTTCTTCTCTGAAATCAATAAAAATATATTTTTTAAAAATTAAAAAAAGAGAAAGAAATGGCATAAATTCTACCACTTGTAGCCCTAGCCGGTTTGGCTCAGTGGATAGAGTGTTGGCCTGCAGACCCAAGGGTCCCAGATTTGATTCTGGTCAAGGGCATGCACCCAGTAGAGAGTGTGCAGGAGGTGGCTGATCTCTCTCATCGATGTTTCTAACTTTCTATCCCTCTCCCTTTCTCTCTGTAAAAAAATTAATAAAATATATTTTTTAAAAATTCTACCACTTGTAAACATGATTATATTCTTAATTTAACTATTAAAACTTAAACTTGAAGGTCATTTAAGTTCTAATGTAAATGATAAAATCTAGTTTATGTAATTAAATATTCAGAAGGTATGCTTTAGCATTGCATTAAATATTTAATTATCCTGCACTTGAGCTATTATTTGTTATCTGGGTAACAACAGTAGGCCATACTATTTCTTGTTAATTCTTTTCAATAGAGTGCTGACAAAACTCTGCAGGTTTCAGATACATTGTTTTGTGGTGTTTGTAGTGTTTGTATGTGCCCTGTTGTTTTTGTGCAGGCTTGTGTTGAAACTTCCTGTTGTGATATAGTCATGATAGTGATTGGTTGATTGAGGTGAATGTTAGACACAGAGTATAACATGACTTTTGTAAAGTCTAAATTTTCTAAAGCCTTTTAGTTAATACCGTAATTATAGCTACTTTTTCTCTGGTGACTTCTTTCCTTTTTTTTTTATTCACAAAAATTAAACACACTCCTGATTAGTTTATGCCTCATAGCAACTTTGAATAAGAATAAGGAAGCGGCCGAAACCGGTTTGGCTCAATGGATAGAGCGTTGGCTTGGGGAATGAAGGGACCCGGGTTCGATTCCGGTCAAGGGCATGTACCTTGGTTGCGGGCATATCCCCAGTAGGGGGTGTGCAAGAGGCAGCTGATTGATGACTCTCTCTCATCGATGTTTCTAACTCTCTATCTCTCTCCCTTCCTCTCTGTATAAAATCAATAAAATATATTTTAAAAAAAAAATAAGGAAGCGGATACTGGAAAGGAACAGCAGGGTTCCACCCAAGGTGCCACTGGCATCGGGGACTGCAGGGCTGTCAGGCGGTCTCCTTGTGCTAAAGAGACTGAAGACTGACACTGACTCTGCAGTCAGTCTGTTTTTTTTTTGTTTTTTTTTAAATCAATCTTTATTGTTCATATTATTACAAAGGTTCCTCATTTCTTCCCCCCTCCACCAGGTTCCCACCCCACCCTCATCCATAAGTGCACAGTTTATGTTCAGTCTCTTCCAGTCTGTTTGTTTTTATCAGAATGTGTTCAAAGGCAATTTTACATGTTCTTAAATCTTGGGATTTTTAAGTTAAGTAACCTTTGCCCAGCCAGTATGGCTCAGTAATTGCGCGTTGACCTATGAACCAGGAGGCCACAGTTTGATTCCCTGTCAGGGCACATGCGTAGGTGCTGCTGGATCCCCAGTAGGGAGGGCATGCAGGAGGCAGCTGCTCGATGATTCTTTCATCGTTGATGTTTCTATCTCTCTCCCTGTCTCCCTCTTCCTGCCTCTCTCTAAAGTCAATGAAAACATTTTTTAAAGGGGATACCATGGAGGAGTTGGTCTTTATTTAAATGAATTATCTTAAAAACAGCATGCCCTGTTTTTCTGGACTCTTAGATAATATGTGTGTCACTATTCTAAATGCCTGTTGTCGTAGGGAATTTGAGTTACTCTGATGGTTTTGTGTGATTTATAAAGCAGCTTGCTTACTGGAAGGACTTTGTTGCTCCTGCAGGGGTCTTTAAAAGGCTGGTTTGATGACAGTGCTTCCTTTGTCGACCTCAATGCTCAGGTTCATCAATGCTAGAAGACGAATTCTTCAGCCGATGTTGGATTCTAGTTGTTCAGAAACTCCAAAAACAAAGAAGAAAACTGCGCAGAACAGACCGGTGCAGAGGTTTTGGCCGGACTCCATAGCATCCGGAGCCTCACAGCCACCGCCCAGCGAGCTCGCCATGCCGGAAGGTACGGGACACGCGGGGTGTGAATCCTAGCACTGTGGCCTCCTGTGAGTTACAGGAACAGGAACCAAGGTGTGTGCATTGTCTGTTCCTGCATCTGGGGCTCAGGGAGCACCATCCTGGGGCCTGTGTGTAAGACGCTCACAGCACATATGAAAGTGACCCACACTAAGACCCAGCGTCCACGGTGCCTTGTGTCCTGTGCCCTTCCGTCCTTCTTCCTCCCGCTCACTCGTCACCGCCGGCACTTCGCCCTCTGTTTACCCTGTTAGTCCCCTCGGTTCTGTGTCCGTCACAACCTCTCTGGTGTGTTTAATGCATATCCTTCTGTCTAATATACGTGTATTGTAAAATGTATATTGATGATGTTATCTTTTCATTCTCCATCTTACTTTTTTTCACTCAGCAGCATAACTCCTATTAAGGTAGGAAAGTTTGGGCCATTATTTCTTAAAATACATTTTTAACCCCGCACTCCCCCCCGTTAAGTGGTTAAAGGTCACACAGTCTTTCAAGTTTTGGATTCTTTTCTCTGCCTCATGTGGATTGTTTCTGCTCCTACCCATCAGCTGTACCAATCTCTTTCTTCTGCTGTGTTTAATTCCCCTCATCCCATCCAGAATGCTTTTTGTAGTTTTCATCTCTAGAAGTTCCGTCTGAGTCTTTCTGTCTCTCATGGGTCTGCCTACGCTGTGAATCATACAGTTACAATCACTGCTCGGTTCCATCCTCTGTCAGTTCCGGGTCTTGCTTTTGTGATTGGTTTTTCTTCCCAGCAGTGCTCAGCCCCAGGCTGATCACCCGCTACAATCATGCAAGACCTAGGAGTGCTCCCCGCCGTGTCCCGTGCAGTGGGTGTGTCCGCTCTGGCTAGAGTGTGGACACCGCTCTGTGATCTCAGACGGTCCTTACCCGGCCCAGGTCCTTTCCCCACAGACACAGGCCGGTCCGTCCTCTGCCCCTGCTCATGGCATGCACTCCCCGCCCTGCTGGCCTGGGCTGGGACCATCCTCACAGTGGGCTGTAACTCAGGCTTCCTTGGTTTCCACTGAACTCCTCTTGAGTTGTAGTGATGCTCTTAAACCTTTGGCTTCCTATATGGGTTTTGTAATTAGTGATCCTACATCCATACTCAAGTAATTGCTATTTTCAGTTCTTACTTTCTCTTTTAATCCAATAATTAGGAGGGTATTTCCCCCCTCTCTCCCTCTCCTCTTCCAAAAGGAAAGGCAGTATCTGTCTATTGGGGGGCACATTCAAATAAGAATATCCTGTGAAATAGTATGTACACATATAATACCTTAATTAAAAAAATGAGGGGGGAAAAAGAAGAATATCCTGTGAAATAAATCTTCCCTCTATCTAGTCCTCTCAGGAAACAATCCTTGTTTCCAGTTTCCTGTACGTGCTCCCATTGCACTTGTGATAAGGTATTCTGTGCACAGACACGAATGCGTGAACCTCTTTCCCCAAATTTAACATATACAGTGCTGTCTCTTCCTTTCACCACTTATTAATATAATGGATATTAATACACTGGAGACTTTACAGGTGAGCACGTGAGATCACTGTAGTTTCCAATCAGGCAGGGATTAGCACTCCCTTCCAAACTGGTCTCCTCACCCTAACCTTCGCGCCTTTTCTTTGTCTTCCCATTCATGTCTGTGCGGGCCTTTCTCCTGCCTTCTCCGGTCTCTTGTTCTCCGTGTGGCACTCTTTCCACCCTGACCCCTGAGACCTTCAGCAAGGCCTGAGGCCAATTCTGGAGTTTCTTTTTTTTTTTTTTTAATATATTTTATTGATTTTTTACAGAGAGGAAGGGAGAGAGATAGAGAGCTAGAAATGTGGATGAGAGAGAAACATCTACCAGCCGCCTCCTGCACACCCCCCACCGGGGATGTGCCCGCAACCCAGGTACATGCCCCTGACCGGAATCGAACCCGGGACCCCTCGGTCCGCAGACCGACGCTCTGCCACTGAGCCAAACCGGTTTCAGCGAATTCTAGAGTTTCTTAAACCCCTGCCGAGCACCCCAGAAACACACGGGTCTTCATGAGAGGCCACATGAGCACATGGCACCCAGTTGGCTAGCAGTGTCTTCCTCCACTGAGCACTAATTTGAATAGTGACCGCCACTGTTTCTGCCGATTTGCCACAGGAGCTGTTGTGACGATCACCACGCCCGTGAGCATGAACGTGGACAGCCTCCAGTCCCTGTCCTCAGACGGCGCCACCCTGGCCGTGCAGCAGGTCATGATGGCGGAGCAGAGCGAGGACGAGTCCGTGGACAGCCCCGGGGCTGGCGGGGCCGCGCTCACCCCCACCCACATCAGCGGGCTGGTTCTGGAGAACAGCGACTCCCTGCAGTAGGCCACGGCCAGGACCCAGGGCGCCGAGGACCCCGGGCGGCGCCAGGACCCGGGGCAGCGGGCCTGGCTTTTTATAGTTTGCACAGCAAACATTTTACACAGTTTTATTTCTGATCTGTTTTATATGTAGATATAGAAGAGTGCACTTTTGTATTTCATAGCAAGCTCAAGGGCGTCTGTGCTGGTGCAGCGACTTCTTTCCAGTGAGTGCGCGCGTGCGTGTGGTCTTCAAGGACATTCTTTAAAGGTTTAACGCTAAGTACGTGACAAATGATAAACCCCTATGAGCCCCTAAGTAGATTAAGGAACTTTTTTTAAAAAAAAATTATGCAGTTTTAATGCGTTCTGTGGTTAAAGCAGGTCCCCGTGGGCTGGCTCCTTTGCGTAGCCCACAGGTTTGAAAGAAGCTTCTGCACCTTAAGACTGCCAGTGCGAGGTGGACAGGACACAGTGTAGACTGGTGTGGCTCTGTGGTGAATGTATGGCAACTCCAGTACCTTTACGTTCTCATAGTCAGTGAGCCTGTTTCGTTTGCTATATATAAAAAGAAACTCCTATTTTTACCTTGCTGGAATTATTGGATAAAAAGCTATTTTTATAAATTCGTTATGAATTGGATTATGACTATATTAAGGATAAAATTTCTAGAGAAGAAATCCTACATGCTAACTTTCAATTTGGAGTGTTATGAATTGACCAAATTTAATGAACCTGCCCCAATATAGTTAGGGTAGTCATTTACATTTACTACTACAAAAGAAACAACTATTTAATGAAATTTTGATATGTAGTCAAATTTTCGTTTACATGTAAATGCTCAGATTTCATTTTCCACTTAATCTAAACATATATCTAAAGGTATTTGCTAAGTAGGACTTAGTTAAACGAAATGGTAGCCAGTAATTAGTTCTTACCATACATATTTCAGTCTAATTTAAATTTGACTATAGTTAAATGGAGACTATCCCATGTTAGATGTGTGCTGGTTTAGAATTTTTTAGGCAGCCATATGTTATACATAGAATGTTTATTATAAACTAATATAAAATGCCCTCTGCCCCACTGGCTCAGAGCTAGGGTAAAGCAAACCATTCAGCTTCGTTTCATATTCAGCAGATACCCACGAAGTGAGCAGGACTGTGCTGACAAGCAGTGCGCGCTCTGCAATTGGCCACACACGTTACCCTTGGTCCTGGGCCGAGGTTTCCCCCTTGTATGTGTTACTCTGGAATTTCCAGAGATTTGGAATAATGTTAGGACTTCCGTTTCCTGGTGACAAGACGAATCAAAATTGTAGACGAGGTTTTTTGTTTATTTTGGTTGTTTTCATTTGCCCGCTTGCCATTGGGGTTTTTTCTCAGAGAGAAAACAGGGCGCCTTGTGTTAGAGCAGGTCTGTATGGACTCCCAGAATGAGTTCAGTGTGTCCCAAAGGAGCTCTCATGTCGGGAAGGTCGTTAGTTCTTGAGACTCAGCAGCAGTAACTGGTTATGGACCAGGTTTACTTTGAATGGTGTTCAGAGCTAGTGCAGATTATTTTCTGGGACTGACTTTTCCTTAAAAAATGTATTAAAGTTAATCATAGGAAAGTACTTCCTAGGTAACCTAGAAGGCAGAAAGAAACAATAGGAATTTTTTTAAAGTATTTCAGCAGCTTTAAAAAGAAAAGCTTGACTGTCAACTCTTTGGGGAGAGCATACTATTTTAAAGTAACTTGCATTTCTTATTTATAAACAGTTTTTAATATTTTAAGTCTACATAACTTTCACAGATCATTTTAGCTTCACTTATATTCTAATTTTGCTGGGCTTCTCCAAATGAGGATCCATGGAAGCCAGCCCTTTCCACCTTCCCCTCCCCATCCCCCTTCCCCTTTGTCCCTCTGGGTCACCCTGCTCTGGTTTAGGAAAAACATTCAGAGAATGGAGGGTCCTTACAGGTCATTGTTTCTCTCCCCACCAGAAACCATGGCCACTGTGGCAGCAGATTGTTCCCGAGGGCTGCCCACACTGGGTCAGCTTGGATGCGGCATGTCAGGGTTCGAATTGGCCTGAATTCAGCTTATGTGCCCAACGACAAGGCGTGGGCCTCTGCAGCTGAAGGGGCGTCTTAGCCCTAAGCTCTTGTCACTGCCTTCAGGGGCTAGGGCAAAGGTCATTTAGAGAGAGTGCAGGCATGGACAGGCGCAGCCAGTGGTTTTATTAACATCCTCCCCATTTAACCACCTGCATGGCTGTTTGGGTCATAAAACAACTGCCCGGTGCCCTGGTTGTCATTTTCCTCCTTATCAACACCCGTTTTCCAGGCATCGGAGAGAACCTGTGAAAGTACCTCTTCACTGAATTTTCACTGTAACAGACAGATCCTTTGTTGTCCAGTTCTTTCCTTAGGAAGGATGCTTTTGAATGTTTTGAGATCCCAGGTAAGCATGTTGTCCCTGCTGCTCAGCTGTTGAGCAGATAGCTGGCCGGCTTTGCTGCACCCAGACAACTCCAACTGATGGACTAACCCAGCTTCCAGCCTTCGGTTCCAGATGGCAAGTTACGTTCCAGCACTTACTCCATATGCGAAGGAATCGGTTCTGTGTCACCCTTGGGTGACTTGACTCTGACCTGTGTGAAAAGTGCTGAAGCACATTTTTTTTTTTTTTTCAAACTTAGACATACCTGGAAGGTGTGACAGGCCCGTTTTTGGCAGTTAGTGACAGAAATGACTCAGCAATCTTCCTTTGTTTTAGTTATGTTTGGTCTATGAATGACAATCTTTAAAACGTGAATACTGTAACTATGTTTTCTTGGATTGTTGTCTTGAAAAGGGATTTTTGTGAAGCAATTGATTTATCAAAGCAAAAAAATTAAAAATGGAAACACTTTATGGATGTTTTCTTTTTAGAAAATATATTTTTGATTTCAGAGAAGGGAGAGGGAGATAGAAACATCAATGATGAGAATCATTGCCTGACTGCCTCCTGCATGCCCCCTACTGGGGATTGAATCTGCAACCTGGACATGTGCCCTGATCAGAAATTGAACCCTGACCACCTGGTTCATCGGTCAATGCTCAGCCATTGAGCCACACTGGCTGGGCTGGATGTTTCATTTTCTAAAGCCCATGTCACTGCAAACTCCTTTTACACTGTAAGTAACACATTCAAGTTGTTGACCTGTTCTGCTGGTGACATTTGGTTTGTGGTGACTCCTGCACATTTTAAAAATTAGGATTACCCCACACTGGTAATTTATTTCTAAGAATCTTCTATTACTTCAGTTAGTCATGGATTTTCTAGGAAAAAAATGAGCCCAAGACTTCAGCCTATAATAACCAGTAATGGCTGTGACTGTTTTTTGTGGGGAGGGGTGTTGGCATTATATCATAAATCTGATTATTTCAGTAGTAATGAGAGGGTTATGATGGATGAGTAAGGTTTTGCCTCTCATAAACTACAGGCCCAGGCAGAACCTTTCAGAACGGTTTTAACTCCCCAAAGCTGTGTGCCAGAGGCTAAGGTGAGTCAGCAGACGTAAAGCACTCTTTAACAAGTGCAGCTAAAACTTCCCGTCTCGCTGGGGATTAGCACTCAGTGATGAAGGGTAGGGTTGCAGGAAGTGTTCTGAGAGATTTGACAGAAAAGGGAGTCAGTCACTGTGTTGTCACTCCAACTCCTCATGTCAGAGGTGAGAGGGTGCATGTGAAGCTTAGCCAGGTAGGCCCAGCCCTGACCATCCCCTCCAGGCTTCCTGCTTCGTTTGCAAAGGGAAGGGACTGGTTTATACTATAAGGTTCATTCTAGGTCAAATGTGCTGTTTATGATAGATAAAATCCTATCTTGAAAGAGAAGGGTTAATAAGTAATGATCTAGCAAATCCTGAAAGTAAATGTATTTGGATTTTCTATTTGAGCCCATAAAAGCCAAAAATGGGGAGAGGCACTATCCCAGCAGGTTCGAAAGGAGCATTTTAATTAGGTTGATGACTTTGGTTGCTTTTTTTTTTTTAGCAAATGGCTAGTAGATAAAATGAGGTATATTTTTAAAATATTTTGCTCTGTGTTACTAGTAACTCAATTTTTTTCTGATATTATTTCAACATAGCAATCCATGTCACAAGTTATGAAGCCCTTGGTGGTTAATGTTCTGGGTGTTAGTGTAGCTCTGAGTTTGCAGACTGGAGTGTGTCAGAGCAGGCAGGGGCTGGAGGAGACGCGGCTGAATGGAGCAGGGAAGCAGAGAGCAGTTTCTGGGGGAAGCTGACCTGTGGACTCATAAGAGCACACAGTGAGCCCGATGCTGGTTCCGGATCCAGTCACTATCCCCCCACATGGCTGCTGGGTGAAGGGAAGATATTTCCGAGTCTGGGAGCAGGCTGCTCACAGCCCACCGCCAGTCAAGGCACCTGCTTCACGCAGGCGGCGTTGCCATCCTCGGCGTGAACAGGCAGGACGCCGCTGCATGCCTACTTAACTCATTTATAGTCCACCCAGCAGGGGCCGCAGAAACGCCCGGTCATGTCTGAGGGGCTCCTCGTCAGCCAGGGAAGCAATCCCGGGACGAAGAGCCAGATTGTTTTGGACCGAATCACAGAAGCAGATTGAACCATAAAAGTTACATACTGTTCTGTTATTGAAATGCTTAAGAAATGACTCACTGCAAACCAGAGTTCCTGAGTGTTCCAGGGCCTGACTTAAGTGCCCACTCAGTGTGCTGCTCAGTCTGGGCAGCGTGCTCTCAGGGAGGTCACGTGGGATCTTGTGCTGCTGTTCTTGGCAGACTGGCCCAGCAAGCCTCGCTTTTCAAGCAAACAGCACAAGAACCCCAGCGCTCTCCACTGAGCCCCAGCACTGGCTCCCTGACTAGGAGGCTCAGGGAGCCGGAGGCCTGGTAGGCTGCATATCCAGGCCCCACCCAGAGGACGCTTCAGTCCACTCAGGCCGTGCCCAGGCAGTGGTGAGTCCACACCTGCCCCAGCCGTCATAGCTGTGTGGAGGGCACCGAGGCCACAGTAATGAGGAGGAAGGGGTGGTGCCAAGTAGATCAACAGTGACCCCAACTCAGGCAGCTTGCTGTCTCAGGTAGGTTACAATGGGATGTCGTTGTGCCATTGGGGCTTCAAGATCCCAGCAGGAGCGTAAGGAAAGCAGTGCCTGGCCACCCCTCCCACGGCTGGGACTCTGCAAGGATAGCCCGTTTGTTTTGCTCCTCAAAGCATCACTCCTGGGCCCTTTCAACCACAACCTGTGGCTGCGGGCCTGCCACAACTCTCCGAGTGGAGACAGTTTTCTCTCCTGTGTTGTTCTTTCTCACCTTGTTGAGGTGCATCTTCCCATGCCTTCCTAAGCAAGAAGGCCGCTTGCCTCGGTGACACCTAACGCCTCTGTTGTTAAGAGGAATGTGCTTGCCTCAAGAATCTGGCCGCCATCCCTTCTCCTTCCTGATGTTTTTAGAAGCTGCTCCCTTGCCTCCCAGCCTCCATGTGCTGGAGATGCGGAAGTCTGATGCCTTTCTCTTTCTGAGATTTTCTGTTTGAGCCAGGTTTCCCCATCTCTGGAAGCTTTTGTTGGATCTTCTTGTCCCAAGTGATGTTCACCATGTTCCCCAAGTGGCTTCTCTCAATCAGCGGAATCATGTCTTTCAGTCTGGGACAGTTTCTTAAATTATTGCCTTCTGTTTTCTTTTTCCTTTCTGGAGCTATTACTCGTGATATTAGAATCCAAGAAGTTCAAAGAATTTCAAGCACAAGAAACATGAAGAAAAGTACATCATGATGTCTAAAACAATATTGAAAATGAACAAAGCTGGAGAACACACACTTCCTGATTTTTAAGACATACTAAAAAGCTACAATAATGAAAACAGAGTGGCTCCAGCATATGGATAAATGTATAGACCAATGAAATAGAATTGAGTCCTAAGTAAATCCATACATCTATGGCCGATTGCCAGTAAGAGTGCTGAGACCAGTCAATGGGGAAAGACTGTCTCTTCAACAAATGGACATCAACATAAAAGGATGACACTAGACAACTTCACACCATGCATAAAAATTAACTCATAATGAGCTGACTCTGAGCTAAAAATATAGTTCTTAGAACTCCTACAACTGAATAAAAGACAATTTAAAGATGGGCAAAGAACTTGACTAGGCATTTCTCTCCAAAGAGAAATGTACATTTAAATGAAAGGAAGCCTGATATCACGCAGTTAGAGAAAGGCAAATCAAGACCATGAGATGCCATGTCACACCCACTACCAGGGCAATAAATAAATAAATAAATAAATAAATTTAAAAAAAAGGAAATTAAGTATTGGCAAGGAGAAATTGGAACCTCATGTATTGTGGTGGAACATAAAATGGTACAACTACTATGGGATACAGTTTGGCAGGTCTTTAAAGAACCACAGAATTACACTACCCGGCAAGTGCAGTCCTGGGTATCCACCCAAAATTATTGAAAATAGTATTCAGCTGAAACTGGTTTGGCTCAGTGGATAGAGCGTCGGCCTGTGGACTGAAAGGTCCCGGGTTCGATTCCGGTCAAGGGCATACCTTGGTTGCGGGCACATCCCCAGTAGGGGGTGTGCAAGAGGCAGCTGATCGATGATTCTCTCATCGATGTTTCTAGCTCTCTATCCCTCTCTCTTCCTCTCTGTGAAAAATCAATAAAAAATATATTTAAAAAAAAAAAAAAAGAAAATAGTTATTCAGACCAACACTCATACATGACTGTTTATAGCAGCATAATTCATAGTAGCCAGAGAGGGGGAATAACCTGAGTGTCCATCGATGATAAATGGGTAAACAAAATGTGGCATATCCACAGTGAAATATTCAGCCATAAAAAGGAATAAAGTACCGACACCGACTACAAAATGAACCTTGAAAACATGTTAAGTGAAATAAGCCAGACACAAAAGGCCAGATTGTACGATCCATTTATCTGAAACATCCCAAACAGGTAAACCACATGGAGACACAGCAGATCAGTGTTGCCAGGCGGGGGGAGGGAGGGGCGGGGGGAGGGGGGATGGCTGCTTCTGGGGGTGATGAAAGTGACTGAACCTGGCAGAGGGGGATGTAATAAATGCCACTGAAATTGTACATTTAAAGCTTGTTCATTTTAGGTATGTGGATTTCACCTCAATTAAACCCAAATACTCAAGCCACTGGAACCAGCCCATTCCCACAGGCAGCGCTGCTGTGTGCGGGTCACTGCATGATCCTTACTTCCTGAGCCCCTTCTGCCGCTCCCCATCTGGATTCTCCTCCGGAAAAGGCATTTCCTTCTGCTTCCAGTCCACTCTGCCCCCATCACGCACGGGCTCATCCACCTGGCTGAGTTCCCTTTTAATAAGATTTCCTTGTTGAAACATTTTTCAAGAGAAAGTTAAAAAGAAAAGCACATTTTAATAAACCATAGATTCATCCAATTGTCAGTGTTAATACAAGGGAAACTAACATTTATCCTGCCCTTGGGCTAAGAACCCTAAACCTGCTCATTGCTGCCGTAACCCCGGGCAGTGCCCAGCACCGGGCAGTTAAAAGGCACACAGGCTTCTTGTTCAGTGTGTGGGAGCCAAAGAGCAGGCGGCCTGTGCAGGGTCAGAGCTGGACGACTCTGGAATCCAAGGCACTGGCTGACTTTGTCTTCTGGTCCCGCTCCCGGGCAGCCACGAAGTTCAGCAGGTCAATGGCGGTGACGACCCCAAACACCATCTGCCTCTTGCTGGACTTCTCAGGGCTGTGGTCTGAGGAGGGAATTAGGCAGTAGGTTAAAGCATCTCCACACGGAGCTGCCCTATTCCCAGACACTCAGCGGCTCCACCAGAGTGTGGCCCTGGGGACCAGCCCTGAGCCTGCCCAGGGCCTACAGGCTGAGTG